GGAGAGAGAGAGAGAGAGAGAGAGAGACGCTGGGAAGCGAGCGAGGGAACCTTGTTCCTAGTTCGTTGCGCGAAGATGGTTTGTTTTTGTTTTTTGTTTTTTTGGGTTAGGCCCTTTCGGTCTGACAAGACCATTGCAGAGCCGGAAGATGATAGGAATTAGGGGAGACTTGGTCTGGGCAGACACCCTAGAGTCGCCGGGGCTGAGCCCGTCCGAATGGACAGGCCGACCAGCCCCCCAAGCACTCTCTGCACCCGGCTACGGGGTGCGCTCCCTCGGGAGCAGCGGTGCCGCTCCAAGGGAGCAGCCCGCATGAGATAAAGGTGCCTGTCCAGCCCGGAGTGGGGTTGCGGCGTGGAAGAGGAGGATTTCTGTATCCTGAGGATGGAAGCGATGGAACGGAGGAAATAGGAGGGAAAGGGAGATCGTTGGCTGTGTTGTGAAAACTTTTCATTATTGAAAGACAGATCATTTGATTAAATAATCGGCATTACGTGAAATGGCATGCATTGATTAAACACCTTTGTGCTCAGTGCTATCTTACCACAACAAAACTGATGTGTTATATTCTTTAAGGGTCGCTTTTTTCTTTACAGGCGATAGAACGGTTGGAGGATGCGAACGCCAGCGCGGATATGCCTGCCATCTACCGGAACCAGTGGAACTACAACGTCCAGGGTCGGACGGAGGGTGGCGCTGCGCCCTCCGGCAGCGCGGCCTCCTAGCAGATGAAAGAATAGGACAGATGTTTGTGTATTCTGAGAAAAGTGCGAGTTTTTAGTGTGGATGAATTGTGTACTGCCGTGGTGAGACTGAAAGAAATGAAGTTAATTCTTGTCAGTGGGGTGTGAGTTTTGTGCCCTGTGAACGATTTTGTGCTCATTTGTTAGACCCTAAAGACTGTTGCTGTGTGGAATGTGTAAATATAGTCAACAGAGACTATTGTACTGTAAGAGATGACGACTTGGTAAGATTGATGTGTCCATTCAAAGTTATCACTGCGCCTTCCTCCTTAGAGGATAGGTCAAAGGATAACGATAGGCCAGATTTTCTGCGGTTTCTGCAGTGTCCTAAGTTCTGATGGTGCCCAAGGCATAGCACGCGTTTCATTGTTTCATAAAGGCACCTTCATAGCTTCTTGGGCGTCAATCAGCGGTAAACCGACGTCTAAAGCGCTACGTGCCGTCACACAGCTTATTATGAACTCATAAAACTCATCCAAACACATGTATTGGACACTCTCACATACGGCATGCTCGCCCTCCCCTCTGTACAGTGCAGGTAGTAGATACAGTGTCTCGGCGATTGCACGTGCCATAACGGCCACCGATCGTTTCACATCGGGTGTCCAGCCACTCCGCTGGACCTATAGACTCTCAGATCAAACACCGGCGACGGATGAAAACTCGGCCTGATTTGAGCCCGCCCAATCCTGCAGCGGTCCCGCCGGGACTCTGAATCTACAATAAGGTAACGGGGAAAGTCACAATCATTCGTCGGCACGTTATGCAGCGCGACTAATTTAAGCCTGTCAGCCCCCCTGACTTCTTACTACCGGTCCGAAAACGGATCCTCCGCGCGACCCTTCGACCTGGCAAGCTCATCACATGGCGCGGAACTTCAAAACAGCTCACCATAACCACCAATCCCCCGTGCGCGACCGACACGGAAAAGTCCACCCGCGGCGGGATGCGAACCCACGCTCAGCTAGGCGCCACTATTCAGCACCGCTCTACGACTGCTGCCGCATCTTGTTGAGCGCAGAGCCAGCCTTGAACCACTCGATCTGCTGATTGTTCATCGAGTGCTGTAGCTGGATGGTGTCGGTGCTGCCGTCGGCGTGCTTCAGCACACACTCCACCGGCTGTCGGAGGTCAATACAGGTCAGTACAGGTCACCAGGGGTCAAGAAAGGTCAACAGAGCTCACCAGAGGTCAAAAGAAGCCAAAAGGGACCGCATGGATTCACCAAACCTTACGAAGGCTTTGATGTTACTAAAAATCAATGTGCGTCACACAAAGTTAACACGAGGTCATCAGAGGTCACGCAGTGTCATGGAGGCCACCAACAACATTTAGAACTACCAGAGGTAACGCCAGACAGCATGACGATTGACGATGGCAATATGACAGCGGAGCGCAGAGTGAGGTTATATCAGTACCACTGCTACCTACCTTCAAGCACAACTTTCCCTTTTCCCATACAATCTCTCTCCTCTTCAGTGGGCGCAATATCTCACCTTTCCCGGCGCCAAGTCCTTGAGTCCCTTCAGCGACAGCTTGTCGTCGCTGCGGACCTTGTCGTAGTCGGCAGCGTTGGAGAAGGTCAGCGGCAGCATGCCCTGCTTCTTCAGGTTGGTCTCGTGGATGCGCGCGAACGACTTGACGATAATGGCGCGCCCGCCGAGATGGCGCGGCTCCAGCGCGGCGTGCTCGCGCGACGAGCCTGGCGGGGGGGGGGGGGGAGGGGGTTAGCCGGTGTGGTGGGGGACGGGGTAAACGTCTGAGCTCGTAGATAAGGGTCTCGGTCCACCAAGCACAAGCCCAAGCACAAGCACAAGTGCGGTAAAATGGTTTGTGGCTGAAATGTGACAAAGAGAACGTGTGCAGCGTACTGCGTAGTCGATGCCTCAATCACACTCGTACATCAAATCATCAAACTCGACATGCCAGTCAGTGTATTGACCAATACAACCTTACAACCGATAGGTAGCCTAGCCAGAGCCCCTGTAGGCACAACTGGCAAAGATTGGCCGCACAGACCACTGGGCATCAACGCGCCAATGGCAGCTGCCTAGAGCAGACTTCCATCTCGCCTGCTCTTAGCGCAAAACCTTCACAAATCCGAAGTCAGGCCAAATCCGTCCACCTGTTGCCTGGCGGCCGGACGATTGCTCGAAATTCACACCATCTCATACGTTGGCCAAATGCTCACGCTGCTTCTCTTTCAGTATCGCCTGCACATCAAGCTGGAGATCGGCCGTGCGTTTCTCGGCATCCCTATCCCTACCTCGGCAGCTTCCAAGCTGTTCCTTCCAAGCTTCCAAGCTCCAAGGTCCATGTGCCAGGCACAATCACCTCCCCGTCTCCGTCTACATCCCCGCCCCTCCCCCCGCCTCCCCCTCCGTCTGCGCCCCGTGCAGCCGACTCCGTCGCCGCTCCGTGTCCTCCCGCAGCAGCTGCAGCTGCCGGCACCAGCTGCGGCTGCAGCCGCGCAGCTGCCGCAGCAGCAGCCGCTCCGTGAAACTCAGACTGTCCGTCGCCACCGCAGCAGGTACCGGTGTGACGTCACAGACAGTGACGTCACCGGCGGCCGTCAGAGTGCCGCGATCCTCGCACTGAACTGGCGTAACGCCGGCATCCGACACTTCACTCTTTGATGGGTTGTAATCTGTATAAAGTGACGTCACTCGAGGTGTTGTTGATTCCGATTGGTCCCCGTACTCTCTCGGTGAGGTCACACCACACGCCAACGTTTTTGATTGGTCCACCGCCGAGCGGGCCGTCAGTACCTCCTCTCCCATTGGTCGCCGTTCGTCTGCTTCTCTTGGTGACGTCATCATCCCTGAGCTGACCCTTCTCGGTGACGTCATAACCGCTGAGCTAACCCTCCTTGGAGTACCCTCTCCATGGCTGGTGTCCCCTGATTCTCCGGTATAACTCTGGGGTCGTTCCAAACAGCGAGGAAGCCGCGCATGTTTCCGCCTTCGACGAGCTGATGGGAGTGCGGCGATCCGCCGGTGTAGCTCCTCCGGCTCCGGCTTTGCGCCGCTGTCGGTAGCTGACACCGCCCGAGCCAGAGCCTCCGTCAGTGCCCGCGTCCGGCGGTCGGCCGCGCCGGCGCTCCAGGCGGTGACCTGACCCGGGGCGACTGCGCCGCGAGATTCCACAGAGACCAGACTCGAGGAACTTTGCTGAGGTATTGGTACTGAGGACGGGAGCTGTTTGAGGTCCGGAACTGACCCGAAAGTCGCCGTGGGGGATGGAACTGCTGAAGCGCTAGCCAGTGAGCTACTCGATCCAGTCTTCCCCATGGTATGAGCGCGTCGCCTGCCGGCCGGCCGACCGGTCAGCCCGAGCGTGGAGCCGCCAGCGATACCGCCGCCGCCGCTACCGTTCCAGCTCAGGGTCCGTCCTGTGGTTCGGACTCCGCCGCGACGGGAGACGCTGGGTGAGGCTGGGGCCTCAGCTACAGCGCCGGGTACCACCGGTAGGGTGTCTGCGGGACCGAGAGGTCCTCCGAGGGACATAGAGAGACCCTCTGTAGCCGTCGGGAATCCAGCAACTCCACCTCTTCCAGTAGACACCGGTGGAGTCTGCGGCTGACCCGGGGGCGGTAGAAGGTTCGACAGGGACGCCGCCCGGCGCGGGTCACCCTGTCCCCACCCGGCCAGAACCGCTCGCTCCTCCGGTACCCTCCTTAGTACCGCTGGTCTCAGTGGTACTAAACCTGGTGGTCTGGGTGGTGTCGAGCCGGTCTCAGTATAAGGTTCAGCCGACGGCCGGGTGATACTATGCCAGGCTCGAGGCGAATCTGTTACCCCTCGTCCGGCAGGAGGAGGGGACGGAGTGCGCACAGTCAGCCGAGCTCTGGCCCTCTGAAGTCCCCGCTCTAGGCGAAGGAGAGACGATTCCAGATGGCGCCCCGATCGCTCCGCCGGCAGCGGCGGGGGCGGGGGCGGCCGCGGCGGCTCGGGCGGCGGGGCGGCAGGGGCGCGATGTAATCGATCCAGCAGTGCCGCCTTTTCTTCAGCGCTCAGCTCGAGCCGGAGTTGGGGTTCAGCGCGGCCCGGCCGGCGAGACAGCGGCACGGCTACCAGCGACGGCAGCGCCGCCCTGGTGTCCGGCGGCGGAACTGAAGCTCCAGGGGGCGCCATCGGAGCCGGCCGCCGCGGCGGCGGGCGACCTCGCATAGTGCGCGGGAGGTCACATGGGCTTCAGCACTCAGGTGTGATGAGCGAGACAGTCGTAACAGACTTCAGCTAACTGCATTACTCTACAATTCTACATAAGGCACCGAGGAAATACCAAAACTGCGAGAGACAATTGACAGCTTGCTACGTTCTACAGATAGTTCAGCAGGTGGAAAGATATTAGAAAACGGTAGAAAATCAAAACCAAAGCAATAAACAAGGAGGTCTTAACAAAAGGTAGCTGACGGAGAAGAGAATTCGCAAGCAGACAACAGAAAACTTTGCTCGCGATGATTTTAAACGGGTACCTCTATATTGCCACAAATGGATACAGGAAATGCCGGGCTTCAAATTTGAGCTTTAAATCTGAGCTTCATCAATCAAAATCATCAATCAAATTTCATTCATTCATCATAAAAAATCAACTTTCAAATTCATCAATAAAAAAGCAGTGACCTCAGCCCTGCGAACCAGATTCTTTACCAAGCCTGGAATAAATATTAGACACGCGAATCACTGCATATACACTAGGTTGAAACAGTCAGGAGCGTGACGCCAACCAGGCCCGTTCCCAGCCTTCCTTTAAGCACCTTATATGACTACCAGCAACTATATACATCCCTTCACTAAATCAGTCGCAGCACCAGAGCCCAGCTGCGTATCCCATATTCAGCTATCATCATCTCATAGGTCATTAACCTCACTCCCCTCCCCCCGCCAACATCTTTCTGCCATGACCCTAGTGTCTCCTCCCACTCATCACTCGCTCATAACTCCCAACCACTCACTCAACCAAACTCACACTCTCACAGACCCCTCCCACTTCTCACAGAACCGCTCCCCTTCTCACAGACCCTCTTCCCCTCTGTAACTCACCCTCGCCGTAGTTTTCGTCTCCGACGACCACCCAGCTGATGCCACGCGCCTTGTAGTCGCGCGCGGTGGCCGGCACCGGGCCGACCTCGCCCGTCACCTGGTTCTTCACGGCGTTCATCTCACCCGTGTCGGCATTCACGGCACTGTGAGAGCGGTGAGAGGGGGTTGGTGAATACGGTAGGAGGCCCGGGTGAGAGACGGTGAGGGTGTGAGGTCAGGACGGCTTTAGGATTAGCTTGGTTTTAGGATATCCGGGTGGCGAAGGTTACCGGTGTTCAGCGGGACTCACTAGATAACCCATGCGAGAGAACTCGTGTAGAGAACTTATTTTGATAATCCGTGTAGAGAAGCCACTCACTACGTTAGCAAAGAGAACGTCAACAGTCCCTCTAAAATACAAACCTACACAATACACATGATAGTCAAAGAACGAAAAGACGCGACAAATTCACTATTTCAAGGTACCAAATCACCGTGTATTCAACCTCATTAGTCTCCACATAGCCCACAAAGCCCTTCCCCATCCCAGCTCCCGTTTCCCTACGTCCGGGACACTCACGTGAGGAACATGTTATTGGAGATGTTGTCCAGGTGCCCTCTGAACTTGAGCCACGGTCCGGCGGCAGAGATGTGGTCCGTGGTACACTTGCCCTTGACCTTGAGCAGGATGGTGAGGTCGTCGAGGTCCTTGCCGTCCCAGGGCTGGAACGGCTCCAGCAGCTGGAGACGCTTCGACTCCGGGTCCACCACCACCTGCCGAGAGCAGAGAGGGAGAGGGGGAAAGAGGGGGTAATCAGACGATGTGTCATCAGCAAATATAATGACAGAAAGACGTGTCCTGGAGCTCCATTCACGCCAATTTCCAACCACTCACCATCATTCCTTTCATTTTCCACAATAAAATATCGCACTCGCTCATCATCAACTCCTTCTCCTATCTACATCCTCCAAAACACTCCACTTCCTTTCCTCTCTTGCCCAAAGGCTCCTCCTCCTTCCCTTTCGACTCCTACATCTCCTACCACGATATCTCCAACATTTACTCTCCTCTATATTCTCCAATTATACTCACAAACCCCTCCCCTCTCCGTACCTTGACGGCGGCGTTGTCGGTCGGCGGGTGCTGGTACGTGTCCTCGCCGGCGTCAAAGCCGCGGCTGGGCAGCTCGTCTCCGTTCGGCGCCGCCAGTTTAAACTCCTTGCCGTCCGCGCCCGTCAGCGAGTCCGTCAGAGGGTTGAAGGTGAGCGTTCCGGCCAGCGATAGAGCTGTGGTCAGCTCTGGCGAGGTGACGAACGCGTGGGTGGCCGCGTTGGCGTCGTTACGCCCTGTGGGAGGGAGGAGAAGGGAAGGAAGTAATCTCATGAGTGGCTGACGTCCTCGTGATAAAAGGGAAGATTGCAATGAAAAAAGAAGTAACCAGGGCAAAGACTATTGTATAAATTTAAAGTGCACAAGACCGCTAAGTACACATTTAAGTGGCGAATTACCAGGCCTGAAGTGTTTACATTTTACTCGCCCCACATTGCCGTACAACAGTAAATTTAACTGTGAGAATAACCAAATCCTTAAAAATCGTTCAAGCGACTTTGTTTCAAAAACCATTCGGTAAAATAATAGAGCTTTCACAACAAATCTGCACTTAAACCATCAGGCGCCCTAGTTCAGTAGTTCATGATAAGCTATCTACGGGCTCTGCACTTCCAGCGTCCTCTCTCCACCTAGACTGACCGGTGAAGTTTCTGTTGTAGGACGTGACGATGGTATTTTTCTCGCCCTTCTTGACGTCCTGCCGGTCCCACTGGCCGATGCAGGGGCCGCAGGCGTTGGCCAGGACGGTGCCGCCAAACTCGCGCAGCGTCTCAGCCTGAGAGGAGGGAGGGGAAGGGTGAGAGGACACACGACCGACCGGCCGGGTGGGGGCCACACAGAAATGTCGTAAGGGAGCTCTGAAACGTAAACCCTGAGAAAACCACGTATGGACGCCCAAACTACCCTGTAATGCTGTAACTCCAACGGTTACCACCGGGGGCACATATTTAACTATAAAGTCTACTATACCACTCAAAGTCCTCTACTTAACTACAATGTCAACTCCCTAAGATATCCGTCCTCTCCTAGTTTCCAACTCAAATATTCAATCATGTCCTTCCCACTCACTCTTCCCAAGGCAATCCTCTCGCTCGTTCCCCCAGTATCCACTCTCCAATGATGATGACGATAATTTGGGGTTAGGGGTTTCAGTATACACTCTCCCATCTATCCTCTATAACACTCACAATGCCGTCGCGCTCGATAGTGGCCCGAATCTGTTCCGAGCCGGGCGTCACGTTGAAGGTGGACTTGGCCTTGAGGCCGTGGTCCATGGCCTGTTTGGCCAGCGAGGCGCACCGGCCCATATCCTCGTACGACGAGTTGGTGCACGAGCCGATCAGACCTGAAAGAGAGAGAGGGAGGGGTAGAGGAGGTCAGCTGAGATTAGGGGAGGCTATGGGAAGTCTGAGGGAAGGAGCCGATGTTAGACAAGGATACAGGTAAAAAAGTTGTCAAGACAAAATATTGTCAGGGGAGAAGTAAGACAGGGAGGCCCGGGATAAGGAGACAGTCATTTGAGCTCTGAGCTTGGAAGTAGGGAAATGGAATGTCGAAAGTAGAAAAGTGGCAGGTGGCAAGGGGGTCAAAACACCTTAAGAAATATGAAACAACGCCCGATTAGACGTCCACACTCCACAGTCCACACAATCACAAAACAATGCTTCAACTATCATGTACACAGGCACCGACACCCCACCACCACAAGTGATTCTACCATCTTCTCCAGTTACTACACCCTTAAAAACACATCCCATTTTTTCAACCTTCCCGATTCCAACATACCGACTTTGATGTCGAGCGGCCACCCGTTCTTTTTGGCCGTCTCAGCCAGCTCGTCAATGGGCGTGGCCAGGTCGGGTGTGAAAGGACCGTTCACGTGCGGCTTCAGCTCGGACAGGTTGATCTCGATCAGCTGACGGTGGAAGAAATAGTATAGGTCAGACTCGAGAATACGGGTGGAGGTAGCGGATAAATAGGGAACACTACAGAAATGCCGATGATTTAATTACGAAATAACGGTGATAAAAATGCATGTCATCATTCAGTTGACGGCAGATCTTACGTAGCAAAACAAGAAAACGTGAATCTCGTATCCATGTGTGACGTAGCTCAGTAAAGAAAGCACTGATCATTTTACGCCGCGAAATTACTAAAATATGTTTACTGAATCACTTTCAAGGTTAGACATCACAGCAAGGAACGTAAAACGACCTGAAAACATCCTTTTCACGTTCGCATTCGGTTACTACATGCGATGTAGTTGAGCATAGCAGTGTACTGTTGAGTGTACTACACATTGTTCCAATTACACTCCAAAAGGCTTTGGTATATCACTTTTCACTGTTCCTCCCAGTCACCCTCTATCTCTCTACCCCATCCCCACCCCTCTCTCCCCCTCCCCCGCACCTGATCGTAGGGCGCTCCCGAGTCGGGTGTCAGCAGCGCGGCGTTATCGTCGGCCGCCAGAGCGATCTCCTTGCGTCCAGTGGCGGCCAGATAGTCGTGCATCCGCTGGTTGTACGGGAACAGCGAGGTGGTGGCGCCGATCTCGGCGCCCATGTTACAGATGGTGGCCATACCTGACGACGAAAATGGAGAGGAGGGTTGGCGAGAGGTCGGACAGTAGAGGTTCAGCAGACCTTCGCAGTGGGACACACCACAGATGGTCGTTTTCTCTGCCTCATTCCGTTTTCCACTTTCTGTTTCTATTCTCGTCATTGCCTCCACATTCCCAGTTTCCTCATCCCCTTTCTCAGCACCCACTCGCACAAAAGACGGAATCAAGGCCCGCTCATCAGGTCTGAGCCTACGTCAGCCGTTCCCTGTCCTGTTCTCACTCGTTTCCCCATCCATTTGATCTTTGAGTTCCCATTTACAGCCAGTACAACATTTGGAGTCGAGGCCAAAACTCGTCCTACGGCCTTTCCCTATTCAATTCTCTCCTTTCTCCCAGTGTACTCTACATTCACCCACCGGTACAGGAGATGGAGTCCAGTCCCGGTCCGAAGTACTCGACGATGGCGCCGGTGCCGCCCTTGACAGAGAGGATGCCGGCCACCTTCAGAATGATGTCCTTGGGCGAGGTCCAGCCGGACAGCGCGCCCGTCAGGTGAACGCCAATCACCTGCGGCCACACAGAGTCGTCAGCCAATCAGGGGAGGGAATACAGCACGGCAGCCAATCAGGGGACGAGATAAAGAACGGTGGTCAGCCAAACAACGAGAAAAAATGACGGTGGTCAGCCAAACATAAGAAAAAAGTTTCAATCACTGGCAGTAAAACGGGTGTGTAACAGCCAATCAAGGCAGTCGATGTCTGGAGTATTCCTGTTTGAATTTCCAAAATATATAGTGACATCTGACAATTTTAATGAGACTTGTGCAACTGCAAAGCTTCATTTGATATCAATCAGTATGGCTTAACTTTTCACTATAAATCGTGCAACTTCTCTCAAACAAGCACTACCAACGCAACATTTACCTCTTTGCAAATAGTTCACTCACCGCGACACTCACGGCCCTACGGAAATCTGTGGGATTTCCTACGTCATAGGATTAGGGTCTACGGGATTACGGCGTCTTGGGATTACCCTACCTTGGGGCATTTGAGCTCCCAGGGGATGTCGGCCATGACATCCACAGCGTCGGCGCCGCCGACTCCAATACAGAGGCCGCCCAGGCCTCCTCCATTGGGGGTGTGGGAGTCGGTGCCGACCATCAGCAGGCCAGGGAACGCATAGTTCTCCAGAATAATCTGTAACGAGGGGGGAAGGGGGTGTTAGTGGGCGAGGAAGACTAATGGGGGAGGTGTATACAGGTAGACTGATCTGTCAGGGAAGAGGAGTTCCGATCAGGCGTCAAACAAACGTGCACTCGTTAATTTGCACAAATCGCAATACGATGAAGAAACGCTTGAGAAAAAAATATGAAAAATAATGGATGTTTGCATCGGTATGGATAATGTTGCTTGTATCAAATGATTGTTTCAACCCATTCGTGTGAACTGTGAAACTACTTGATAAGTTGGTACCGGTGTCATTCTGCCTCAGTTCCATTTCCAAATGTCAGACATATCTCATACGACGATTGATTGTAGGTAAAGACTACGATATGAATAAGTCATCGCAACGTCGGTATCACACATCGCAGTTTCCTCTATCGCCCAAGTCAACCGATCCCATAAGCCCTCCAATCTCTGCAATACCTCACAGGGCACTGACCCCCCCCCCTATCTCGCCCAGTTCAGCCTAGCACAATAACCGTGTCACCCCCCCCCCCCCCCCGGGGACTGTCACCACTCGCCAGCCGGCCGCCGGGGGCTAAAGTTTGGCCAGTAGCCAACCGTGAGGCACCGCAGACGGATCGACGCTCAACTGCCACCCACTCGGAAGGCACGTGACATACCGAGCCGAGCGACGCCGGGAAGAGGAGAGAGACAGAGGTAAAGTGGGGGGGGGGGGGGTAGTCGGATTACAGGAGTGAGGGCACAGGGAAGGGCTGAAAATGGAAGAGGAGCGAGAGAGGGTGGGTGACGGAGGGTTTACCGTACATTTCATAAACCAACGAAGTCAATGGGGCCCAGACGCTTGGGCCTGAAATTCTGCGGCTTCGTCGAGCTATAATCCTGGGCCCTGTTTCACCGGTGATAGCAGCACGCTGCTATTACCAGGGGTGGACAAATGTGCCGAGTTGGGGTAGCACGAGTCTTCCCAATTCCACGCCAGCTGCGCCGGCTTGGCTTTGGAGCCGCACTAGACGGCGGAGGTCAAGGTCACCGCCAGGGCGGCGGCGGATTGGCTGCGCCCGTGCCACCCCAACTCGGCATATTTCTCCACCCCTGGCTATTACACGTGTCAAATAGGGTTTCCATGGAGACGTCAACAAGCCTATTCCTCCAACACTACCACAAGTGTGACGTCAGCTCGCGAGATGGAATAGCAGCTAAGCAGCGTGCTGCTAATTGCTATCACCGGTGAAACAGGGCCCTGTAGCAGGCAACGTGATATACAGAACCGTGCATACGTTTCTGTATGTATACAGAATCGTGTATACAGATTTGAAGTACAGAACTGATAAGCTGAGAATTCCGCATCCAAAGGGCATCGGCCATCGCTATTTCGTTATCATGTTCTAATATAGAGCGGAAACTGGATACGAGGGTAAAAAGCGCATTTTGTCCTTAATTGAGGTCGGCAGAATTAAAATATACACGGGGCTTTAGGGCTTTGCACGGAGCAGTATGTCGGTTGTGGGCAAGAAAAAAGTGGGGCATCGACGAACAATACTGCTCACAAGTTCTCCGAAAGTAGCTAAGATTATTCTTTAAATCTGTATCGGAAGGGCAAGCGAGAAGTAATGAAAAAATCGCTGGGTCCAGAAGAGATCCCTGCAGTACACCAAATGGAAAGTTGTTCCAGTCGGACATCATACCGTTTATGGTGAACCTCTCTGGCATCTATTGGAGTTTTTACAAAAGTGGTAAGTGAGTCACATTTTGAAACAAAGCCTAATCATCCTGATAGCTATTTTGCTTCTAGGTCATAAAATCATACAAGTCTACTGTAAGGATAATTCTGCGAATGTAACTTGTTCTATCTTTTTACTGAGCCCTTCTAAGACTCCATTAACACAAAATACCGTCATAACTAAGACATACGTCTGTTGTATGATAACATACAACAGACTGCTTATGATCAACCATCATATAAAGATGGTTGATACAGCCCCACCCACTCCGACGTAAGCAGCTGTTTAGAGACAGGACACGTAGGCATATATCACACCTCTGATAACGGGCAAGCTGGCGTCACGAAACAGCCCAGTGAAAGTGTTACGTCATAGCACACAGATGAGCAAGATTAGAGGTGCTCCCAGCTATTCGGTCTTATATCATATCTTGACATGCATTACATTGCATATATAACCACACTGGTGGAATCAAATAGAAAAGAATGCACATATGAGTCATTTTGGAGTGAGTCAGTCGAAATAAACAGTAGCAACGATCGAATCGTAGTAAAACATCAATATGTGTGTTTCTGGGCCACAGTGCGTCGGAACTAACCGGTTTGCACCGCTGTAAGAGCACTTGTTGAAACAGCGATCACACTTGAGAGGACTGCCTATCTCTAATATAAACACAACTCTAGTGGCAAGACGTGGTCCAATTTTAATAATGACGTCAGTGTGTCTTCATTAATAAAACTGACTGGATGGGTACGAATATCCCGTATGAATCCAACGAATATCGTATTCTACTCCATAAATGGTAGAGCGTTGAACTCTCGGTGGTGAGAGCCCGGGTTCGAGTCGTTGCGGCGCTCGATCTATGCTGACCTCCAGAGAGCCCGCGAATCTTGGACCTCAAATGACCCATGAAATATGACCTGTGAAGTGTGACCTCCAGTACCCTTATATCTATGACCTTGTCCACATTTAACCTCCATTGACCCCCAGTGACCTCGGACTGACCTGATGGATGATGCCCGACCCGGGTTTCCAGAATCCCAGGCCGTACTTGGCTCCAGCCGAGGCCAGAAAATCGTATACCTCCTTGTTGATGTCTTTGGCACGAGCCAAGTCCTTCACACCGCCGACCTGGAGAGATTGAGAGGGGATAGAGGGGTTTAGATTAGATTCCGCTTGAGACGATTGGTAGGGTTATGTGGCTATCATGGTATTTAGGTTTTCGCCTTTTAGGGGCGCCCGGAGAGCATTTGATTACCGGCAAACATGTTTGTAACCATAAAAAAGCTAATGCTAATGCAATAGACTCGTCATTTTTTACAACGTTCCTCAGTTTTCGGTGTCCAATGATGAGTATGATATCTTGCCATCGGTGTAACACTGATAGCATACAACAGACTAGCCCACTCGAGCATTGCAGATAAGAGATGCATCTGCTCTCCCTACCAACTCATAGAGGCAACATTGTTCTGCCATGGGAACCGAACATCCAAAGCCGCTACCCACCATTACCGGGCTGTCTCAGCACGTCCTGATTACACCTTCAATCCACACACCTGCGCCTCAATCAGATGATCGCAGTGAATGGTGGACGGCACGGCGACCCGCGGCAGTCCGGAGCTGATGAACTGCAGCAGTGCCATCTGGGCGGTGGCGTCCTGCAGGGCCACGCGGTCGGGCCGCAGCTGCAGGTAGGAGGTGCCCCGCTCCAGCTCCTGGGAGGTCGGCTGGTCCAGGTGGCTGTAGAGCACCTTCTCTGAGGCCGTCATTGGACGGTTCAGCCTGCCGGGGTGGGCGATGGGCGTTGGTTAGATATAGGAGGGGTGAATTTTCCTGAGACAAAAAGTCGTGACTGGCTCGACCTGCAGCATTACTTCTTTACGATCCATCAACAAAAAGTGAATGTCTGACGAAATTTACGAAACAAAATTTCAACTAAATACGTGACGATTGAAATCTTATGAAATTTCATGTTTATAATACGCCGACATCTTGTACTTATCACTCTCCCTTATTACACCTACGTTTCACCTCACCGGCAACTCTTGTAGGTCGCTCCCCTTTCCTACAGCTCTTGCAAGTTGCAAGAAGGCAAACGATCTCTACTAAAAATACAGAACGATCTCATTCTCCACCACTTGAAGGAATTAACAGAAAGGTCTCCCTACACCTCTGTCTGTATCTCACCTCTTCTTGACGACCTCGTAGTTCTTCTGGAGTTTGTCGTAGGGGAGGGGGACGTCATCCAGCCGGGACATGGCGGCCTTGGTGGCGGCATAGCTGAGCGGCGACTGATGGAAGCACCGGGACTGCGTCTGCTGCGACACCGCCCGGCACGCCTGCGGAACAAAATGGACAAGATAAAATTACCTAGTGTTTGAATGGATTGACATAGCCGAAGCCCAATCGAGCGCCGGAGCGACTCGAAGGGGGTTCCCACCACCGGGAGTCCAATGCTCTACCAAATGAGCCATGGGATAGGCTGACAAGCTATTGCTGGATAGTGTGGAACAAGGTGGAAGTATGTGGAATTATGTGGATAACGTGGAAAAGACCTGAGCTGTTGTGATACCACCTGGCAATGTGCCTATGGAGAATAGTGGAATGAGAATAAACAATGAATGTGGATAGGGAGTGTGGAATGCAGATGCGCATTGCAGACGCACATTGACAGATAGTTGGCAAGTCATGGGCTTATTTTGGGGTTAATGGGTGCATTTGCGGTAGACCGCGCCCAAAGCCAGGGCCCCGGGTAGCCGGGTCGGGGCAGCCTGCGCTGACCCAAGCCGGGGCCGCGCGTCTTCCCGGTGTCATGGATAGCCTGGGGCTGCGGTGGCGTCAGCGCTCGGGCCGAGGACGGCCTGTGTGTCGGGAATAAACAGTCTGGAACCGACCGAGCGTCTGTGTACTTCAGTGGCGACAAGGACCGAACTCACGTGTGGTATGGCGCTGGCCCGGGCGCCCGAGTTCGACGCGGGTGTTGAGTGTTTCGGTGGTTATACTCGGAGGCTGGAACAGTATTTTGTGGCGAACGATGTTGACGCGTCACAACACGTGAAACGCCGCGCGATTTTCCTGAGTGCTATCGGGCCGGTGACGTTTGCGCTGTTGGAGGATTTGATCGCTCCGGCCTCAGTGACAGACGTGAAGTATGGAGACCTGGTAAAGGTGCTGTCGGAGCATTTTGAGCCGTCGCCGTCTCGGATCTTGGCACGTTACCGGTTTCATACGTGTGATCGCGAGGACGGTGCGTCAGTCTCAGCTTATGCTGCGACTCTGAGGCGACTGGCGCGGCCATGTCAGTTCAGCGCGGAGGTGCTCGACGAAATGCTCCGAGATCGGCTGGTCTGTGGAATCCGGAATCCCAGACTTCAGTCCAGACTGCTCAGCACGGAGGATCTCACTCTCAGCTCTGCGCTCGCGATCGCTCAGGCGTTCGAATCGGCGGCTGCCAACGCCAGTGAGCTGAATCGCAGCAGTCCCGTGTCATCAGAGCGAGCGGATCTGCAGCCCGTCCATCGGGTGGAGGAGCGCCGACCGCGGCAGAGTCCGTCCCGAGTGGCGGCGACGGGTGGCGCTCGAGCTCAGTGTCACCGCTGCCGGCAGAGAGGACACGAGCCGGCCGTGTGTCCGTTTCGCTTCCGGCGCTGTTTTTCTTGCGGGGAGGTGGGTCACTTGCGAGTGGCCTGCCGACGGCGCACGCCGGCGGTCCGGGCGGTTCAAGTGGAGTCGGCAGAGCATTCCACAGCTTCCGGTGCAGCTGCGGCGGAGCCGAGGAGCCCGGAGAGAGTGGAGGAGGATGTGTATGCTCTGTTCGGAGTCTACAGCGCCGGTGTCTCGCCGCTCTCGGAGGCCGCGGCCGCTCGCTCGGAGGACACAGTCGAGCGATGCGCAGCTGGTGGCGGCGTGAGTGTGGGCGCTGCTACGGTTGCTGCGAGTGAACCCCACGGGGGTGGCTCCGATGAGCCTATGGTCGGCGCGCTTGCTTCTGGCGCGGCGGCGGCGGCAGCTGGCAGTGGCGCGGGGCGCTCGGCTGATCGTGAGTCTGCCGGCGGGCCCGGCGGCGGCGTGCATCGCACGGAGGGAGCTGAGGGAGTGGCACCGACGCGGCCTCAGCGCTGCGGGCCGTACATCGTTCCGGTGCGGCTGAACGGCAAAGTGCTGGAGATGGAGCTCGACACGGGAGCTGCCGTCTCCGTCTGCTCGGAGCGCGCGTTCAAGAGGCTCTGGCCGACCGGCGGTCCGCCCCTGGAGCGCTGTGAGCAGACTCTGAAAACCTATAGCGGTGGAACGATCGGTGTGTGCGGTCAGGTGATGGTCGATGTGCAGTATGGTGACACATCGGTCCGTGTGCCGCTCGTGATCGTTCGCGGTGGCGGTCCGTGCCTGTTCGGGCGTGATTGGCTCGCTCGCATTCGGCTGGACTGGTCGTCAGTGTGCGTCATGACGGCCAGCTCGCGGGTGGACGCGGTGCTGGCTGAGTTCCCAGACGTGTTCGACGGGGAGCTGGGATGCTTCAGAGGTGAGCCGGTCACGGTGGATGTCGATCCAGACGTCCAACCCCGGTTTTTCAAACCGCGCGTCGTCCCGTTGGCCTATCGGGATCAAGTGGAGCAGGAGCTGGATCGGCAAGTGAAACAAGGACTCTGGGAACCCGTCGCACATAGTAAGTGGGCTGCACCGCTCGTGGTGGTGCCTAAGGCTGGGGGAAAGGGTGTGAGGTTGTGTGGCGACTACCGCTTGACTGTGAATAAGGCGGCTAGGGCAGATCAATACCCCCTCCCTCGCGTCGAGGATTTAATGTCGCGACTGACCGGGGGGACAGTGTTCTCGAAATGTGACCTTAAGTCAGCGTACAATCAGCTGGTGTTGGAGAAAGAGTCGCGTCAGTATCTCTGTCTGAACACGCCCCGCGGCTTGCTGCGGCCGACCAGGCTCAGTTTTGGGTACTCGGCAGCGCCGAGTTTGTTCCAGCGGACGATAGAGACGCTGTTGGCTGGCATCGAGGGCGTGGGAGTCTTTTTAGATGATGTGATCATCACCGGCCGTGACATGGAGGCGCATAACCGTGCCCTCCGGGAGGTTCTGCGGCGGTTCAGTGACGCTGGCCTCCGAGTGAACCGGGACAAATGCAGTTTCGGCGTGCCCAGTGTCGAGTATCTGGGGTTCAGGATCAGCGCGCGCGGTGTCGAGACGACTGAGGAGAAGGTATCTGCCATCCGTAACGCGCCGGAGCCGCAGAACGTCTCGCGGTTGAGATCGTGGCTCGGTCTGATCAACTATTATGCAAAGTTCATACCGAACTTGGCGTCCGTGCTCTCACCCCTGTACCGCTTACTGCGACGTGATGCACCGTGGGTGTGGTCTGAGACCGAGATGCGTGCTTTTCAGACAGCAAAAGAATTGCTGCTGAAACCCGCAGTATTGGCTCATTTTGACTCGTCCCTCCCCGTGGTCCTGACGTGCGACGCCAGCCCCGTGGGAATCGGGTGCATTCTGAGCCAGGTACACGGTGACGGCGAGAGACCGGTGGCATTTTACTCCCGATCTTTGAACAGTACAGAGGCTCGTTACTCACAGACGGACAGGGAGGGCCTGGCTGTGGTGAGCGGGGTCAAGAAATTTAATTATTTCTTGGCCGGTCGGTCATTCGTGATCCGCACGGACCATAAACCTCTGTTGGGACTGATTGGGGAACAGAAGTCGCTTCCGGTGATGGCATCGCCCCGTGTGATGCGATGGGCGATGCTTCTGGCGGGGTATGATTACCGGCTGCAGCACGTGGCGGGTAGTAAAATACCTCACTGTGACGCGCTGAGTCGGCTTCCCGTGCCGTGCCTGTCAGCAGAGTCTCCGTGTCCCGCTGAGCTCATAAACTTACTCGAGTTTCTCAACTCCTCGCCGGTCACCGCAGATCAGATCCGTCTTTGGACCGCCAGAGACCCGACGCTGTCCCAGGTGTATCAGTTTGTTCAGAACGGCTGGCCAGAGGTGGACGTAGAACAGGTTGAGCTCCGTCCGTATAAGGCGCGGTTAGGAGAACTTAGCCTGCAGGACGGGTGTGTGATGTGGGGGTCTAGGATCGTCATTCCGCGGCAGGGCCGGAAGGCGGTCTTGGAGTTGATACATGAGGGACATAATGGGGAGAGCAGGTCCAAATCGTTCGCACGCATGTACGTTTGGTGGCCCGGGATGGATGGCGAGATCACGGATACGGTGCGTAAGTGTGTCGCGTGTCAGTTGCAGCGTAACCGAGAGCCTAGCTCGCCGCTGCACCCGTGGGCCTGGCCGGCTGCCCCGTGGGAGCGTGTTCACATGGATTTCTGTGGCCCCCTGAACGGACATATGTTTCTGGTAGTAGTCGATGCGTTCTCAAAGTGGATGGAAGTGTGTCCGCTGCGAGCGGCGACCACAGAGGCTACAGTAGAAGCGCTCCGTGTTCTATATGCCCGGTGGGGGTTGCCGAAAACCGTCGTGTCTGACAATGCTCAATGTTTTGTTAGCGCTGGTTTTAAAATGTTCTGTGAGGAGAATGGTGTTCGGCACATTACCACTCCGCCATACTCACCAAAGTCCAATGGCTTGGCCGAGAAGTCTGTTCAGACGTTTAAACACGGGTTTACTCGTCAGAAAACCGGTTCCGTTTTGTGTTAAGTGTCGCGTTTTTTGTTTAAATACCGTGCCACCCCGCATAGCACGACTATGCGATCCCCGTCTGAGCTGTTTCTCGGTCGGCAGTTCCGGACGCATCTGGATAGCCTGCGCCCGGACTTGCGTCGACGTGTGGAGCAACGTCAGTGCGCTCAGAAGAGCTCGGCGGACCGCGGGGCTAAGGAGCGCCACTGTGTGCCCGGTGATGCCGTGTACGTGTCGGCGGTGGACAGACTGAGCGGGGTGGAGGGAGTGCGTTGGCTGCCAGCGGTTGTGGTAAGCCGCAAGGAAACCGAAGTGGTCGTTTGTTTGGAGAGTGGGAATTTGTTGCGTAGACATGTAGATTGTGTGAGGATGCGCGTGACGAACGGGGCGGAAGGGTTTGATGATGTAGAGTTAGCACCCAGTGTTGTGCCGGCAGCTCCGCCCGCTGCAGTGCCATGTGATGTACCCGTCGGCGGCGACCGTCCAGGCCGGGCGCTCCGGTCGAGCGACCAGCGCCGGGCGCCCAGGCGCTTAGGCTACGATAGAGATTTCGCCCAAATATCTGTGGTGGAGGGATGCGGTAGACCGCGCCCAAAGCCAGGGCCCCGGGTAGCCGGGTCGGGGCAGCCTGCGCTGACCCAAGCCGGGGCCGCGCGTCTTCCCGGTGTCATGGATAGCCTGGGGCTGCGGTGGCGTCAGCGCTCGGGCCGAGGACGGCCTGTGTGTCGGGAATAAACAGTCTGGAACCGACCGAGCGTCTGTGTACTTCACATTCACAGTTACCATCAGACATGGAACTTTTTGTGGGATCTGGGCCCCATGTAATGGAGCCACAGCCAGAAAAGTCTATTGGAAATGGAGCATGATTCAAAAGTGTCCTAGACTTGACGAACTGAGGTAAGTCTCAGTTATTTTGGTTGAACCGAGCAGCTGGTTGAAAAATGTGGCACTGATTAATGTAACACTACAGTATCAGTAACCCAGAAACTGTTTTTTTCTTCAGATTGGTGCAACAGATGACCCTGAGCTCTGAAACTGAAATGCAGCAGCCAGATGAAGACTGGTATGATGCAACGTCGGAGGAACTGCAGCCAAACACCTGGATGTGGGACAGCAGCAGCACATGGAGTAAGGCCAGCACATTACAGTCCATTGCAGTCTCAGCCCATTGCAGAACATTGGGGCACCTGTCGGCTGTCAGGGCTGTGCTTTAACCCGCGCGGGGCCGGGGGGGGGTGTTTGAACACCCCCCCTGCGATTTTTTTGCAGATATCTCAAAAACGGCGGCGCGGAGCGCCGCCGTTTTTCGCACACCTGTTCGTGCATCTTTTCCGCACATGTTGTGAAAATTTCAGACCCAGGTCGCCTTAGGTCAGGTCACCAGGTCACGCCAAGTGACCTCACCTCAGAAAAAATAAGAATGCTCGTCATAGCTACAACGATTGATTGATTGCCTGGAAACTTTCAGCGATTGATAAGAGCAACAGTATCTATAAAATGTATATCTCGGAATTTGGATATCGGTGACCTAAGGTCAGATCAATTTTGCGGCCTCTTCATTATAAGTCAATGGGAGAAAATTGAAAAGCGTCTGTTTTGCACGAACGCCATTCTAGACACTCTCAAACATCGGGATGTAGGTAAAATTGACACACTGAACCGGAAAATGGCAACTGTGACCCCTCGTTATGACCCCGAGGTCATCTCAGGTCACGAACAGAATCTAACAGTTTTTCGCTAATAACTTCTGATAGAGGCGTGCTAGGGCGTTGAAAACGCCTTAGATGTGTTCGGCTCGACGTTGCAGATCGACTGATATGCAACATGACCTTTTCCGGTCAGGTCATGACCTTCAAATATTGCTGCTAACATCTTCCTGGCTGTGCGATCAAACAAATGTATCAAACGCAATTCAACGAGACAGCAACTCTGTTCCAAACACAGCTCACGGATTACACGAAACGTCACTAGTGTGACCTCATCACATTGCGTCAGCTCGCGCAATTTGATAGTAGCGTGCTGCTATCACCGGTGAAACAGGGCCCTGGCAATTACTGTCAGCTCGTACTATGACATGCTTGGATGCTTGACTGAAACAAACATTATCACCAACAAAACAATCTGAATAGTATGAAAACAAATTAGCTTTGCGTGGAATTCATACAGTGTATAAAAAGTTGGTTTGGGTTAGCCTAACTTTCCTAAAATACGCACAGCACAGCACTTTGCATGCAAACTTTTATAGTCAAAATATATCAAATGGAATAGTACATACCTTGGTGAGGACGGCACGCCCACAGTAAGCCATATTTCAAACAATTAAATTCTTACAGGATATAATAACAACCCAATCCACACGCAGTCTCAATGAAAAAGACGGTGTACAGGATTTCGACGCAATAAAAACCCCCGCGTCAGCTCTGCCTCAAGGCATCAGCTGTTTTCTGAAAATTATAGAGGTGGGATTGAATGCTTGTGTATTCAAACATTTTTTCAAAAGAATGCTAAAGTTGTCCAGGTTGTTTGCTATTGAGTTACAATATTTTAATTTTTGTACAAATTTATGTGAAAGTAAATGGTTTTCTGTTGGAATTCGTGATAAATATATAAAAAGGGTTGTACAAAAGGCGACGAGTACCAAGTACTTTCAACATGGCGCTATCCATAACAGAGTTTCATATATGGCGTACTTGCTACATTTGTATGCCAATATCCGCTTGCAAAATAGTTGCAAAGTGTGAGGCGCTGTGCTAATTTCACGGTTTATGTAAGCTTTTATCTTCTTTACATTTGAACTATTCCTTTTGCACTGCATTTGTGCAGACTGCCATTAGTTCACTGCCTAAGACACATCTCATGCAGTCAGCATTGCCTTGCCGTTTTATTTCAGTTTTATTTATTCAGTTTTCACCCCACTTGATGATAAGCATTTCCTGAAAATGTTATGCATTTAGTTCAGCAATGTTCCTCTGTTTTAAATACGCAGTTAAGTTTTTGGTCCTCACAAGTCACATTGATTTTGGTTTCAGGTACCCAGAGTGAATTGATTATGGGAGAAAAAGAAGCAGGCGAGCTTGTGGAGGAGCTGAAGAAGGAATGTCCAGTGTTCCATATAAATGGATCACAGGTAAAGATTGGATGGCCAAGCATATAAGAGTGCATTGCTCATTTCTGTTTTCATTTAAAATTTATGAAAATATCACTGGGGAAAATACATACATTTAACATCAAATTTATTTTTCCATAGACATTTTGTTTTAAGGGTGGCTCAAGTCCAGAATAAATCAATAAATCAGCCATCATATTCTTAATTTTCACACATCTAGTAATTCTATATGTTTTCAGTGTTGATAGGCATTCATCTTGTCTCTCAAGGTCCTATATGTATTGTTTTTGTCCTCAGGTTGAAGTCCTCACAGACCCGGCAGATTTTTACCAATTTCTGGTGGAAGGCTGCCACAGAGCAAAGAGGCGTATCATATTCTCCTCGTTGTACCTGGGCAATGGACCAAAATCATTGGAGCTGGTCAGTATTGAAGCTGAACTTTGTCATTGAGAGGCTTTGTTGGGTCTACTCAATTCTAGGAAGTTCAATTCAAGCTAAACTGTACTGAGGATTATGAGTGCAGTATATTCTTTAAATCTTTAGTGTGTACAATTTCAAGAATTCCCAATTAGGTTTAAGTACTAGATGATTTAACCAGCATCAGAAATGAAATAGACTCTTTCCTTTGTGCCATAAAATGCTTACTACTCCATCATGGACCAACTGCATGGTTGGATTGATTGCTTTTATTCCAGCTCCCTCTTCATGCATGCATGGAAATTTCTACATATCTCATTATCAGATCCACTGACTGATTCCTCTCCACTCTCTGCCCACAGCTCTCTGCTCTATCTGAGTCTCTGGAGCGATGTCCCGATCTGGAGGTCCGGGTGCTGCTGGACTGTCTGCGCGGCTCGCGCGGCCACACTGGCTCGCCCAGCTCCCGCCACCTGTTGGCGCCACTGGTGCAGCAGCACGGAGAGCGCTGTCAGGTCGGTGTGCTGCCACCTGGTGACTGTTAGTAGAACTAGAGGTTCGTGTGAGTGATGTACGGCGCTCTTGGTGCTTGGAGCTCAGTAACGTAGTGTTGCGTTTTCTTTTATCTTCAACACTCTACCTTACGCACACCTACCATGTTATTCTCCCGCTTTGATCAAACGATGGACGTTCTACTTATGATTTTTGATTCTGCACGGTACGACGAGCCATAAGATATCCCACATTTTACGGAAAAACGAACTCATCTCACAGTTCAATCGTCATGGCGTACACGCCTTAGTTTCAAGTCACCTTTCCATGCTTCTATCCTCAGGATACTGAAATCCTTCTCCTCCACGCCGCAACCCCCCTCCGGGCTGGACAGGCAACTTTATTTCATGCGGGCTGCTCCCTTGGAGCGGCACCGCTGCTCCTGAGGGAGCGCACCCCGTAGCCGGGTGCAGTGAGTGCCTTGGGGCTGGGTGGCCTGTCCTCTGGACGGGCTCAGCCCCGGCGACTCACTAGGGTGCCTGCCCAGACCAATGTCTCCCCCTAATTCCTATCATCCTTCCGGCTCTGCAATGGTCTTGTCGACCGAAAGGGCCTAACCCAACAAAACAAACAAACAAACTTAGTTTCAAGTAATGTGTTTACGCTGCTTTAATATAATTTTTCCTTTTTGATACTCAAAAGGTTGCCCTCTGTCCTCTCCCGGCTCCCGTTGTCATACACCCGAGGCTCTAAAAACATACCGATTTCGCAGTTCCCCTCTCGGCCGCCAGGTGTCTCTGTACCACACGCCGACGCTGCGCTCATTTATCAAGTGGCTGCTGCCGGACCGCTGGAACGAGGTGATCGGACTGCAGCACATGAAGGTCTACATCTTCGACGACGACCTCGTCATCAGCGGGTGAGTGGCATCAGCGGCGGGATAACCGGAGTTCGCGTGTTCGTTTTGTCCTAACGATCGTTACCGTTCTCTCTAGCATGAAGGATTTTTTCTCTTGGGCTGAACTGTTAGATTAATCATTATGCCGTACCGACCTGCATAACACTCTACTGTATTCATATTTCGTTCATTTTTCTATCGACTTCACATTCTTAATTAAATTGTTCACTCCGTGATACAAAATCGCCATGATCGATATTCAAATTGTCGCTTTTTCTGCCATTTTCAGGGCGAACCTGAATGACGACTACTTTACGCAGCGACAGGACCGGTACATGGTGTTCAGAGGCGCCGCCCACCTGGCGGAGTTCTATACTCAGCTGGTGGCTGCCGTGAGCCGTTTCAGCCTGCAACTCACCGCCGACGACCAGCTGAAGGTGGGCTCGAATCCCGGCGAGGGCAGAATTTTGGAAATTGTTTGATATGAATGATTGAAGATAATAGAGTGAATTTGGGGATACATACCGTTGTAGCGGGTAGCTACTGGGTCTTTATTATTAATTTATGGCAAAAGTTACGCATTGTATGAAAATGAAAGGCTAACGTGGCATCACTTTGCTCCTAATTTTAATATAAATCGATGTCTTTCGCGAGATGAAGTTAATAACCTCTGATCGCGTGGATGTGGCCTATATGTATGTCCTATTTGTTGTGATTTCTTCGATCTTAGCGGAAACTTTAGGAAAAACGTAGTGCCGACAATAACTCGTAAACAACTTCAACGACTCGTGACATCACGTTGTTCCTCTTTCTTTCGCTCTCCCCAGCTGAGCCCGTCTTGGTCGGTCCATCCGTACCAGGGCGACCTGTCCAAGTTCTGCGAGCTGGCTCGCGCCGAGCTGGAGGCCGTTCTGGCCGGGTGGCGCCGGTCGCCCCCGGCGCCGCCGGCCGCTGCCGATACGTGGGTCCTGCCGACAGTGAACCTGGCGCCCGTGGGGATCGATCTGGATGAGAGGTGAGAATATGAGGAGAGAAGGAGAGAGAAGAGGGAGAAGGAGAGAGGAGAGGGAGAAGGAGGCGGAGATACGAAAGATGGAGGTCGGAGCTGGTGATGAGATGGTAGAGAGTTTGCGGTAGCATGCAGTTTGTTGATGCCCTGTGGACGTCTTGTGGGTTCGAGGTTGTAGCGTAATAGCTGACTGTGGCTTTTGACTTCAAAATGACTTCCGACCTATGGCTTTTGGCCTTATGTCTCAAGCTGGCCTCAATGTGACTTCTAGCATTGGTGTTTGGCACAAATCTGACCGTGCTACGGCCTCATAATGGCCTCTTACCACTTATTTATGATCTCGATATGGCTTCTAGTGCGCTCAAAAGTAAGTAACCTTTGCTAACCCCTGACCCGTGGTTTATGACCTCAGGGTGACCCGTCGTCTGCTGCGGGCCGACCTTCTGAAGGGCGACGTCCACCTGGCGACGGGCTACTTTAATCTGACGGACGCCAACATGGCTGAACTGTCTGCCGGCCAGCCCCGACCCGTCTCCGTGCTGTGTGCCCACCCGGAGGTAAGGGCAGTGCTTGAAAGCAGGGATGCGGAGCCGTGGAAATTTCAGACGGCTCCGGCTCCGGCTCCGGCTCCGGAGAAAAAAATCGGCTCCGGCTCCGGCTCCGGGTGAAATGCCATTGCGGCTCCGGCTCCGGCTCCGGCTCCGAGTAAAATGATCCGGCTCCGGCGGCTCCGGCTCCGGCTTCTACTCAGTACATCCCCTATGCGATCAATTAAATACGGGTGGAAGAAAAAAGGCGATGGGTCGGATTGGTACACGTTGCTTCTGTATTTGTATAACAAGGCTATTTTGAATACCACATTGTTTTACGCCTACTGTCAAACCGAACTAGGTAAATAATTGTTTCCTCTTAAGAAAAGGAGCCGGAGTCGCCCCCTTTTTGACGGCTCCGGCTCCGGCTCCGGGCTATATTGTTTCACGGCTCCGGCTCCGGGCAAAATATGCCGGCTCCGGCTCCGGCTCCGGCTCCGGCTCCGCATCCCTGCTTGAAAGGGTGGGTGGATATCTGCTAGAGGAACAACACGGAGTTTTGGTGTGAGGTTTTGAAAACGTACCAAATGCCAAAAGGTATTTACCAAATGTTCACGCTCTTACGCCGTAAACATGCTCCGTAAACATTGATGTCGAAAAGAAGCAGGTCTTAAGGTCATCATTCAGTTTTTGCTATTAGAGATATCAAATGATAGATCGTGACTGCCTGTCTGAAGAGACCTTCTTAAGGGTATCAGAGTTAACTTTTTGCGGCACTTGGAACGGCTTTTCTCAATAAAAAACTATATTGCTCAAACCATTGCTGTTAAAGTACCTGGCCCTATGATCACACCCTCCCTCACCACTCTATCGTCAGGCGAACGGTTTTCTGCGCGCCGGTGACGTATCGGGCTACATCCCGGCGGCGTACACCTACCTCCTGCATCGGTTCCACGCGGCGCTGCCGGCCCACAGCGGCGTCACTCTCCACGAGTACCGCCGACCCGGCTGGACCTTCCACAGTAAAGGCGTGTGGAGCCACGCCGCCGGGGAGACCGGCCTGCCCTCAGCTACCGTCATAGGATCGTCAAATCTGGGTACGTGGGGATTGAAGAGAGGGAGGAAGGGAAGGGAACGGAGAGGATTGAAGGAAGGGATGGGAGAGAGAAGGGATTGAGAGAGTACGGTGGGGGGGAGAGCTGCAGTTCAGCCATTTGCATAGCTAATTTGGAACAGTTTAGGGAGGAACATTTTTTGCGTATTTAAATTGCCCATCACTTGATAATGTCTCATTCATTTGGTGTTGCAGCCTTTTGTCGATACTACTGACGGGTTTCTGTTTTCTGAGACCCTGACCGTTGTTCCTCCCGTCCCCCAGGTTACCGGTCCTCCTACCGCGACCTCGAGTCTCAGGTGGTGGTCGTTACGAAAAACGCCGCCCTGAGACACGCCCTGGCGGACGAGCGCCGCAAACTCTACTGCCACTCACAGCCGGTAGATGGCAGCACGTTCGCGCGACCCGACCGTTTCGTGCCCCGATGGGTGCGGCTGGTCAGCAGACTGATACGGCATTTCTTCTAGAAGCTTCTACTGTCGATCGCCCGGGCAAGTGCAACGTTTTCTTTTTTCGCCGTCATTGATGCTCCTCCCGGCTTGCCGCAACTCCCTCCCTCCCTCCCCTTTCCTCCCTCCCCTTTCCTCCCTCCCCTTTCCTCCCTCCCCTTTCCTCCCTCCCTCACGGCCTGCCTCCCAGATTCCTCTCTCCCTCCCTTCCACCCTTTGTTCCCCTTCCTCCCAATATGACCTTGTGCCTGATCACACACCGTAGTTATGTGCCCGGGACCCTGTGCTTCACAGCCGCTCTTAGGCCGCCCAGGTGTCGGTTTTCTCATGTTGTTACGACGTCGGGCGTTCATGCCACCATTAGGTCCGACGACGAAGTCATACTCCACTGCTAGCTTGAAAAGTGCAATTGTATTGCGCGCAAAGCAGTCATGGTTATGAACTGGCGTTTAAAGTTTGTTGTTAGGGTTGGTCTTGTAATAATCCACTGTTTTGCTTAGTCAATTTGGGATTTTACCAGTGTTTTAGGTCGAAGTTTGTTGTTGTATTCGGAATTCTTTGGGAATTATTTTCTAGGAAATGCAAGCATGACGGGAGAGATCGCCTTTATTTATTTATGTCATCACACATACCATTACATGTGCCTTTAAGTCATCACTCTTTTTCATCGCACAAATCAGGGTACTCGTTTATACACCCTTCTTTTACCTCATTTGCAACGAATTTTCCAACTTCAGCCCAAAACAGGACAACGTTACATTGTGAGCGTAACGTTGTACTTTTTCCTCTTGTCCAGTGTTGTTTACGGTCCGATTGGTCCATTTCATAGTGCCGAGCTTACAATTGCCGAGTGTGTGTGTGTGTGTGTGTGTGTGTGTGTGTGTGTTATAATTGTGCACTGAATTACTGTGACGTAGGGTTTAATGCAGTTTACTGTCACGCGTTACCATGTCTGATGAATATCGAATACATTATGTGCGTAACTGCGTACGTCGTACAACGTTTGATGAATTTTTTTTCAGAGAACCGTCTGGAAATTTAACTTAGTGCAGACAGTCCCAGCTCAGTTGCTATCACGCTGACTCCGAAATTAGGTCCATGAATCATTTAGAGGCATGACTCATGCATGACCAATGTCGCTGACAAGAAATGGTTACGAGCGTCCTGGGGGTGTGCGGGCTACGTGTCCCAAGTTTTGAGCACGAGCTGGTATTGTAGTTTTATTGCACGCTACGTTTCAATTGATACCGCGGAGGCCATGTTTTGTCCAGCATGTCAAACATCGAATCTGTTACATTTATTCTGTCAAATTACGTCTCAGCTAGCTCACTCGTTACATAACTTGGCAAACCTGTTCCCTTAACTTTATGTAACGCTACGCCATCCCTCTCGCGTATAATACCACAGACGTCTGTGCTGCAATATCACGGTCTAATTCGGGCCTATCGTCGGCCGGACCCCCCCCCCCCCCCCCACCCAGCTGAATGGCCGCAGGCCCTGATAACCCCTGACCCCACAGAGCTGGCTAGTCAAGCACATCGCTGCTCACCAATGTAAACAACCAATCAGCGGCCGGCACACGTCGGCCAATCACAGTTCGCGGTTTGTCGGCCAATGGGTGTTGGGTTGTCATTTCAAGTCAGGTGTCTTGTTCGGGGAGGGGGGGGGGGTTTGCAAGGTTCTCGAGTTGCTTATCTATCGGGTGTATACTCGAAGTTTTGAGGCGGGGTCGGGTAGGGATTGACATCTTGCATCTCAGCCCAGATTCGTTCCTAGCAGACCGCAATGAAAATTCGAAATTGTGGAAAATGATCACCCCATCCGTATTCGATCGGAGTCGGACCCTGAAAAACACGTGACGTGCTACTGCTCAGCGCTCATGCTCCTAGCTTCAGTGTCTTTTTCAGTGAGTCGGCATCTTGCCTGCTCAGTTAGTAGAGCATTGGACTCCCCACGTAGTGAGAGCTCAGGTTCGAGTCGCTCCGACGCTCGATATTTGGGACTCGTGACGGGGATGGTCTGCGGTTGGTGGGAGCAGCCGCAGCCAGTTGAAGTCAGTTGAGTCAAGGCCAGTTGAGTGGGACAGGCAGTGTCCGGCTTTGAAGGGCGCGTTAAACTTCGGCATCTAAATTCTCCCGTTACCCGGAATTGCGCGATCGGACGGTAGGGCTGCGGGGTCTACACAACATGCTCTGCTTAGCGTGGGCTCCGGCTCTGTCAATCCGTCCATTCAAACATTCGAGCTAAATGCGTTTTTTTTAATCTGATGCGCCGTCCATGCGAATGCCTTTCACCCAAAAACAGCCGTGCCGGCGTCACCTGGCCCATGGATCATCACTGGATCACAGGTCCCATAGTGTCGTAAATTACTATCTTTGTCACCGTCATTACCCAATAATGGCGCAATCCCCTTATTTGCCCTCCTCCAATATGGCAAAATGACCATATGGTTACAGTAGATTAACCGTTGTTTGACCATGTCTTATTGATGCGTTGGGCATTGTTGACCACAGCAAACTTTCGATCTTTCTTGTGCCAATCCACTAGCCTTTTGTACGTCACAGATAGCCACAGGCGTACTCAGGGATAGTTTCTGATGTTGGAAAGGCAGTCAGAGGTCGATATTATGATGCAATAAGTGAACTCCAAGCAGCTGCTCATAGTTCAGTTACAGATGAGTAGCTCACTGCTTTCTCAGCTCAATGAAATGAGTAGATTTTCGAGTCAGATAGCTACCGCATTCTCGGCACTGCTACTTGTTACCAAAGTTGAATGTCGATATTGCATAGAGTCGCCAGGGCATGTCTTTTTCCATCGGGTAGCATGTTCTTCCACTCCTATCCTAGGGCGACCTCTCCTCGTTCGACTGAGCTCGAGGCGCCTGGGACCGCCCCTGGGGATCGTGTCAGACATATGGGGGAAGGGCAGGACGCGCCGGCGCCCTGCGTCCCGGGCAAAACCGAGCTGCAAGAGCGGGAGGGAGGCACAGAGCGACTGGGGCCAGCGCTGGTCACGGGAAGTTTTCACATAGCATCAGACTCAGTTCAGCATCTGGAGTCCGCTACCTTCCTCTTCGTCTTTGAAGGTGCGAAAGTGCACTATTTGCATTAGTATTCCGTGAGTGAAGTATCTAGAGAATCATCATTCGGCTTACTTCAAATGCAGTTCTTCTGACAACAAGACGAGCTCAGCTCAGCAGCGAACAAGCTCTTCGTCAGAAGTGCATCTTAATCAGAGGCAGCAGCCAAAAGCTTCACTCCAGGCTCAGCATGACCTCAAGCTCCATCCAGGGCACGAGTGCCAACCTGCAGTGGCACATCTCCTTCCCCAAGTCATCCGACTCCACCGACTTCCCGTTCTGGAAGTACGACTTCCCGCGCGAGATCTGGGACGTGCGTCCGGCCTCCCAAATAGCCGTCAAAGTGGCCACCTTCATTCCCATCATGCTTCTTGGCTTCATCGGAAACGGTGCTGTCCTCTTCTTGGTGTGTCGGAGGAAGACGATGCGAACTCCGGTTAATCTTCTATTGGCGAGCATGGCCGTCTCGGACCTCTTCGTCGCCTCCGTTCTACCCTCGCTGACGATGGTCGAGGATTTCTTCCAGAACTGGGTCCTCGGACCGGTTATGTGCAAGCTGGAGGGATTCCTGATGCTGTTGCTAACTCTCGCAGGCGCGCTGACACTAGTGGCAGTAAGTCTTCTGCGTCTGATTTCGATCGCCACTCCTACTAGTGTCATTCAAGCGCGCCTCACCCCTACGGTAGCCATCCGTCTGGCCATCCTCATCTGGCTCGTGGCGGCGATTCTGGCTACCCCGCTGCTCCGCTGGCGTCATTACCGCGAGCGACAGTGGCGTAACTTCACCGAGAAGTACTGCACCGAGAACCAAGAACTTCTCGGTCTTTACTGGCTGGTGTTGGGCGCGCTGCTTGTCTGGCTTCCGCTGGTCGCCATCCTCGCCAGCTACGCCGTCATCTTCGTCAGGTTGGAGATGACGGCTCGACGCGCCACACGGCGCGGCTCCGGTGCGCCCGCCGCCACGCGGGGACGGGATCGAGTGGGAATTATGCTCTGCGTGGCTTCTGCTGTGTACCTCCTGTGCTGGACGCCCTTTGCGGCTGTCATCGTGAAACGCTACAGACTTCCTGACGAAGCAGACGCGGTGACCGATTCGTTTCGAGCTCTCTGGTACGCTGCGCACTATTTGATGTACGCCAATGCTGCCGTAAACCCGATCGTCTACTGGGCGACGAACGAGACGTTCCGTAGAGGCTTCAGAGAAACGTTTGTGGCGCGATCACGACGACAAGCGACATCAGCAGCGAGAACCTCCGGCGAAGCGGGAAAGTCGGCGGCGAAACCGGTGGATGTGACGCAAATGTCGCAGCTGGCAACAGAAAAGGAGAAAAGTATTGTGAACGTGACGCGAGAAGACGATAAGCTGCCGGTGCTTGAAACAGACGAAGCCAAGCAAAGAAGCCAAGATGAGGGAAAGGTACGAGAGGGAGAAAGGCACGGCGAAGCCAAAGAATGGAATGCAGATGCAGAAGAGACTGAAGAGACGGAGCAGACGAAATGTGTGGACTTGGAGTGCCTTGCAGAGGAGACTGAGAAAGAGAAGCACGAGCACAGAAATCAGGAAGACGTTGAACGAATGGAGGAGAATGATGAAAGGTCTTGCAGCCGATAATTCTAACCAAGCTGAACGAACGAAGACCAACCGGGCACGTGACGGTCTGGCTGTTTTCAGATGCAACTGAGTGGAAGTAAGTCGATGTCTATAGGAGTTATGGCAGGGGTTATGATAAAATGGAATTTATATGATACGCTGATGAAGATAGAATGAAAGCGGTATGACTGACTTGAGACAGATTGGAATCAGCAACAGCGACATGAAATGCCGGTTAAATCCTACATTGAAGCCATCAGATCGCTCTCTTGTGTCGTATCTCTTTCCGTGTGTTCGAGTGAGAGATACGCGTAAGCTCGTTTGATTAAAGTATCTGTGGAGTATTTTTGATCGGTTTGTGAACTAAGAACGATCATTTTGAACCATAATTTCCGATGTATCCGCCTGTCCGGTCAATTGTCAGTATGCCGATGCTGTTATATTTTACTTACGCAGGTATTTGGGGTTATGTATTGTGTAAAGTGAGTAGAAACACGGTATAGGGGATGATGATGACATGCTATAAATTGTAATGTACTCTCCGTTATAACGATGGCCATAGGCCTGGCTGATGGTGCGATAGGCTCAGCACGTATCGCTGAAATCAGCGAAATATTTCCAATGCGTACACTGCACTCTGCACTCTGCAGTGAAGCCTTTATTCCGTTTAATCGCATAAACGAACGTTCAATAGCTCAGGTCACTATGTTTATGTCGTTAATGTGATGTATCGTTTACGTGATGAGTGATAAGTGGAGTAGGTCTTGTTACAGGCGATCCCGTATCGACGTACATGCGTCTACCTACTGGAAAGTGGAAATAATGGAACGAACGGCGCCAATGAGGAGCAATAGATGATCTTGCGTGTCGATCGTTTATATTTTGGCTGTAGTGCGAGATGTCTGTAAGAATCTTTGTTCAAAGTATGGAGCAGCCTGTTCGTCTTGTGGCGCAAGTTGAAGACGGTGTCCGCAAGGCATTGTCGATCGTGTCCCATCGCCTATTTTGAGTCGCGAGACGTGAAAGACTCGGTAGTCGTTCTATGTGGAGGTTGACACTTGATTGCATGCAAGTTGCAACTTCTGAGAATTGAGACGCTTATTGTCCTCAAAATATCCTGGACGGTAACCCCAGCTAGCCTAGCTAAGCTAAGCTATTTAAAGTCACCGGTCGGGTCAGCGAGTTCGCTCATGTCAGCGCCGGCTAAAAATGCGCAACAGTTGCATCCAACGCCTCCCTCAGACCCACCCCACACCGGACAACACTATTCGACCGCCACCCTTGCAGCCATTCTATAACTCAGGAACTACTGGACCGATCGGAACGAACGAAACACTATTCGAATCAGGAGGTACGATTTTATCAGCTGTTTCGAAGCTCGTGACCCCAGGTGACCTCGGTGACCTCAAGAGGTCAACTCGGCATTGACGCCTATTGCAGCCATTCTATAACTCAGGAACTACTGGGCCGATCGCGACGAAAACACCACCAGTCGAATCAGCGTATGCGATTTCATCAGCCGTTTCGAATATGGTGACCTCAGGTGACCTCGGTGACCTCAAAAGGTCAACTTTACGTTTTCGCCTATTGCAGCCATTCTATAACTCAGGAACTACTGGGCCGATCGTGACGAAAACACCACCAGTCGATTCAGCGTATGCGATTTCATCAGCCGTTTCAAATATGGTGACCTCAGGTGACCTCAGTGACCTTGGGAGGTCACATGACCAATGTGGCCTATGGCAGCCATTCTATAACTCAGGAACTACTGGGCCGATCGTGACGAAAACACCACCAGTCGATTCAGCGTATGCGATTTCATCAGCCGTTTCGAATATGGTGACCTCAGGTAACCTCGGTGACCTTGGGAGGTCACATGACCAATGTGGCCTATGGCAGCCATTCTATAACTCAGGAACAACTGGGCCGATCGTGACGAAAACACCACCAGTCGATTCAAAGTATGCGATTTCATCAGCCGTTTCGAATATGGTGACCTCAGGTGACCTCGGTGACCTTGGGAGGTCACATGACCGATGTGGCCTATGGCAGCCATTCTATAACTCAGGAACTACTGGGCCGATCGTGACGAAAACACCACCAGTCGATTCAGCGTATGCGATTTCATTAGCCGTTTCGAATATGGTGACCTCGGTGACCTTGGGACTTGGGAGGTCACATGACCAATGTGGCCTATGGCAGCCATTCTATAACTCAGGAACTACTGGGCCGATCGTGACGAAAACACCACCAGTCGATTCAGCGTATGCGATTTCATCAGCCGTTTCGAATATGGTGACCTCAGGTGACCTCGGTGACCTTGGGAGGTCACATGACCAATGTGGCCTATGGCAGCCATTCTATAACTCAGGAACTACAGGGCCGATCGTGACGAAAACACCACCAGTCGATTCAGCGTATGCGATTTCATCAGCCGTTTCGAATATGGTGACCTCAGGTGACCTCGGTGACCTTGGGAGGTCACATGACCGATGTGGCCTTTGGCAGCCATTCTATAACTCAGGAACTACTGGGCCGATCGTGACGCAAACACCACCAGTCGATTCAGCGTATGCGATTTCATCAGCCGTTTCGAATATGGTGAGGTGGTGACGAATATGGTGAGTAATAGAATGGCTGCCATAGGCCACATTGGTCATGTGACCGCCCAAGGTCACCGAGGTCACCTGAGGTCACCATATTCGAAACGGCTGATGAAATCGCATATGCTGAATCGACTGGTGGTGTTTTCGTCACGATCGGCCCAGTAGTTCCTGAGTTATAGAATTGCTGCAATAGGCCACATTGGTCATGTGACCTCCCAAGGTCACCGAGGTCACCTGAGGTCACCATATTCGAAACGGCTGATGAAACCGCATACGCTGAATCGACTGGTGGTGTTTTTGTCACGATCGGCCCAGTAGTTCCTGAGTTATAGAATGGCTGCCATAGGCCACATCGGTCATGTGACCTCCCAAGGTCACCGAGGTCACCTGAGGTCACCATATTCGAAACGGCTGATGAAATCGCATACGCTAATCGACTGGTGGTGTTTTCGTCACGATCGGCCCAGTAGTTCCTGAGTTATAGAATGGCTGCCATAGGCCACATTGGTCATGTGACCTCCCAAGGTCACCGAGGTCACCTGAGGTCACCATATTCGAAACGGCTGATGAAATCGCATACGCTGAATCGACAAGTGGTGTTTTCGTCACGATCGGCCCAGTAGTTCCTGAGTTATAGAATGGCTGCAATAGGCCACATTGGTCATGTGACCTCCCAAGGTCATCGAGGTCACCTAAAGTCACCATATTCGAAACGGCTGATGAAACCGCATACGCCGAATCGACTGGTGGTGTTTTTGTCACGATCGGCCCTGTAGTTCCTGAGTTATAGAATGGCTGCCATAGGCCACATTGGTCATGTGACCTCCGAAGGTCACCGAGGTCACCTGAGGTCACCATATTCGAAACGGCTGATGAAATCGCATACGCTGAATCGACTGGTGGTGTTTTCGTCACGATCGGCCTAGTAGTTCCTGAGTTATAGAATGGCTGCCATAGGCCACATTGGTCATGTGACCTCCCAAGGTCACCGAGGTCACCTGCGGTCACCATATTCGAAACGGCTGATGAAATCGCATACGCTGAATCGACTGGTGGTGTTTTCGTCACGATCGGCCCAGTAGTTCCTGAGTTATAGAATGGCTGCCATAGGCCACATTGGTCATGTGACCTCCCAAGGTCACCGAGGTCACCTGAGGTCACCATATTCGAAACGGCTGATGAAATCGCATACGCTGAATCGACTGGTGGTGTTTTCGTCACGATCGGCCCAGTAGTTCCTGAGTTATAGAATGGCTGCAATAGGCGAAAACGTAAAGTTGACCTTTTGAGGTCACCGAGGTCACCTGAGGTCACCATATTCGAAACGGCTGGTGAAAATCGCATACGCTGATTCGACTGGTGGTGTTTTTGTCGCGATCGGCCCAGTAGTTCCTGAGTTATAGAATGGGCTGGCTGCAATAGGCGTCAATGCCGAGTTGACCTCTAATCAGGGGCGTAGGCAGGGGGGGGGCCACTGGGCCATGGCCCCCCCCCCTTGGGCGCCGAAGGCGCCCTTTGCGATTGGAGGGCGCCGAAGGCGCCCTCCAATCGCAAATGCAATTGTGATATAATCGAATCGAAAAACAATCGCGACTGGAGGGCGCCCTCCAATCGCGAATGTGTTTACAGGGAAAATACGGATGGAGGGCGCCCTCGGAGGACGCCCATTCCAAATACGCCCTCCAAATACGGTTGGAGGGCTCCCTCGGGCGCCCTCCAACCACATTTGTAGGCTGTAGCTCTCTAAGCGTAACGGTGGTCGCCTATGTAAGCCGCTGTCCTGTAAATAAGCGCCCTCTCACCCGAAGGCGCCCTCCTGTAGGTCGCCACCCTGCTACACATTGCCGCCCTTCTGCTGATCGGCGTCCTCATAATTATTGGCGCTCTTCTACCTATTGCGCCCTCATGTGAAATTTTGAAGGCCGCCTTTCTTCCTTTTGGCACCCTCTTGTTCAGTGCCGCCCTCCTACCTATTGGTTCCCTAGTCCTTCCTGTTGAATGCTAATCGGGGCCCTTCTCCTATTGGCGCCCTCGTGTTGATCGCCGCCCTCCTAACCACTGGCACCCTCCTGTTGATCACCGCCCTCCTATCTACTGGCACCTTCCTGTTGACCAGCGCCCTCCGCACAGACGCCCTCCTGTTCGTGTCATCCTCTTGAGCAAAGGCGCCCTCCTCACCATTGCCACCCCCATTTTAATCGTCACCCTTCCGCTCATTGGCGACTTGCAGTTGATGACCGCCCTCCCACCTATTGGCGACCTCTTGTTGATCGCCACCCTCCTATTGGTGCTCTCCTGTTCCTCGCCACCCTCTTACCTGGTGGCGCCCTCCTGTTGATTGTTGATCGGGGCCCTCCTACCTATTGGTGCCCTCCTGTTGATCGCTGCCCTTCTATCCATTGGCGCCCTCCTGCTGCTCGCCAACTTCCTACCTATCGGTGCCCTACTGTCGAAACTCGGGATGTTGATCGGGGCTCTTCTACCTATTAGCGCCCTCCTGTGGATCGCAGCCCTTCTACCTATTGGCAACATCCGTTGATCGCTGCCCTCCTATCATTTATTTACTCCTTTGGCATGTTCTTCAACTTAGTCGTTCTATTGCACATAGTTGATGTCTTGCCTGTGAAAACTGCCACAAATGAACGTGCATTCAGCACAATGAATGAAGTACCTATACCTACCAAAACTATCTACGCTCTACGATGCATAAAACACGTCTTTGGTCTTAACGGATTGATCCTACTTTACGTGCATCATGGCATCTATATGTATTACGATTAAGTATTGTCAACAGGTTCGGCCGCAACAGCAGGCATCTGAAGTTTCGGTGATTGAAACTGGTTATGTGGGTACACTGTATGCACCTGTGAGAAGGCTATGAAGGCTGGTCTGAGGTAATTTGGATGATGTTTACGCATCTCGCGCTCCGGTATCAATCCGATACGGTGATCTGGTGCGTAGAGATGCCACCGCCAATAAACTTTTATACATCGACACCCATGAGCCAAGCTTTCTATAGTTTGTGTGGCAGCGGCCCGACCAAACCTTAGGTATTTTTATACCTTCAAATTTGGTAAAAGAGCGAGAGGAGCTTTGAACAGTGATCGTATAAAAGGCGTGCCTAAAAAGCGGAGGAAAAGGTTGTTTTCAAAAATTTCGCGCGCCTTCGGCGCAGCATTTCAAGACCACTTGACCTTTTGTGACCTGGAGTATAAAGAATACACACGATGCAAAATCAATGCAGCACGACCTATACGAGGTTACGCAAAAAAAAACTGGTGGCATGGTAAAAAACGCCTCCCCCCCCCGTTGAGTGATTTTTTATCTCGCGACCGTATGGCGCCCTCCTTGGGTGAGGTGGCGCCCTCCAAACCCTTGGCCCCCCCCTTCGCGATTTTCTAAATACGCCGCTGGACCTCTTGAGGTCACCGAGGTCACCTGAGGTCACCATATTCGAAACGGCTGATGAAATTGCATACGCTGATTCGATTGGCGGTGTTTTCGTCACGATCGGCCCAGGTTCCTGAGTTATAGAATGGCTGCAAGGGTGGCGGTCGAATAGTGCTGCCCCCCCACACCACATCCGTTAGTGAGCCCAAAACTCGAGCCCGGTCCAATCTGTACCCGGGGCACCCTTCCAATAAATCCAAATCCAGTCGGGTCCGCGCTCTTATACGGCCTTGGGTCCGCGGCCGAGTACGGGTGCGTATTATTTAGGCCAGGGTTCATAATGTCCAGGGTACGATGTGTCCAGTGCTCGAAATGGCCAGTGCCTTGAATTGGCCAGTGTTCATATTGTCCAGGGTTTGCATGGTCCAAATGTGGCCAACTGGCTGCAGATAGGGTAAATTCAAAGAGGCCAGGGTTCATAATGTCCAGGGAACGATGTGTCCAGTGCTCGAAATGGCCAGGGTTCATAATGTCCAGGGCACGATGTGTCCAGTGTTCGAAATGGCCAGGGTTCATAATGTCCAGGGCACGATGTGTCCAGTGTTCAAAATGGCCAGTGCCTTGAATTGGCCAGAGTTCATAGTGTCCAGGGATTACACAGTCAACCAAACCAAACCAAACCTAACCTAACCTAACCTAACCTAACCTAACCTAACCTAACCTAAGGTAATGATGTTTGCCTACCGGGGATAAGGAAATAGTTTCTCGCATGAATAGATTGCAAGCAATAGTAAATCAAATATTTTTAGGTTAAGTGGTTATGCATCAGGCTTCAGGCCTTCGGCCTGAAGCCAGATACATAACCACTTAACCTAAGAATATTTGATTTACTATTGCCTGTAATCTCTCCTAAGGCATTGCCTTCGGCACTGCACTGCTTCGCATTGAGCTGGTTCCGTGTTTTTACATAATGACGTCACTTTCAATGACTATGTAATCCCTGGACATTATGAACTCTGGCCCATTCAAGGCACTGGCCATTTTGAACACTGGACACATCGTTCCCTGGACATTATGAACCCTGGCCATTTCGAACACTGGACACATCGTGTCCTGGACATTATGAACCCTGGCCATTTCGAACACTGGACACATCGTGCCCTGGACATTATGAACCCTGGCCTCTTTGAATATACCCTATCTGCAGCCAGTTGGCCGCATTTGGACCGTGCAATCCCTGGACATTATGAACTCTGGCCTATTCAAGGCACTGGCCATTTCGACACTGGGCATATCGTACCCTGGACATTATGAACCCTGGCCAGAATGAATGTTCCCCGTGTAAATGCACCGGGTCGATGCCAGGCTGGTGGTAGGAGCGTCGTCGCGAGACAGATCAGCACACCACCGCATTGCCGACGCAGTCGGGCGCTGTTGGGATCTCTCTGGAGCCCCAAATTGAGCCCCTCGAGTCTCGACCCTCGACCCTCGACTTGACAGTGACACGCGGTCGCCTGGTGCTATCGACACCGTCGTGACTGCAAACAAAGCTTGCACCATTGCACTTTGAGCCGGCGGTCTGCACTTGGGCATACATGCAGATTGCAGGCTCGAGCGGGGGGAGTCGGGGGAGGGGATGCCTCCGCCGCGCGAGTATGACCTTATTTGGTGTGAGCTGTGCCAGCTCGGCCTCGGATGTTCGAGGTCAATGGGTACGGGCTGCGGCAGCTCTGCCGGCGGGTCAGGGGGCTGACAGTCGACACGGAACAGCCTTGACTCGCATTGTCGGCCCGGGAGACGGGAAGCGGGGGCTCGATTGCGGCATTGGGTTGTTTCTGGGTCATCGATGACTTCGGTCATGTTGGAGGAAGTGACTGTTCACGTAGGTCTGAGGACTGGGTACGGATTCGCACTTCGCCCCAGAGACAGTCTGATCATCGATCATTGATCAAATTAAGTGTGCCTATACCTAACTGATAAACATATCACCGAAAACTCTCCACAACGCCATGAAAATAGCCCAAATGGCAAATGAAATGACTCGCATACGGAGCATCATCGCACTGCTATACCTATGTAAACTTATCGGCTGAAACATTTGACTTTCTGGGGGAATTTTTTATAGTGGGACTCATCATAATCGTACCAAGCAATAGCACTGGACACGGTGGCAACTGGCACTGGAATTATAGATACCAGCTGCAGAGTGCAGAGCCAGACGACCGCCCCGACACGCCACCTTATTCGCTCTCTCGGCTAACCGTCTTCGGCGGTTTCAACAGTCAACAGCCACCTACTCCCCTCAAGGAAACACCGTCCAATTTAGGTGCGCGGCTCTGGGCCACGGGCGCACCCTGTGCCCGGCCTCTCCAATTTTGGAGGAGGCTGAGACGGTCAGGGCCAGTTTGAAGACAGACGGTCTGACCCAGGTAAGGCAGCCGAATATCCGGATGTGTAGGAGTGGCCTATGGCAGAACAAGATGCCACTGGCCCACTGGAGTGTAGGGTAGAACGGACAGATAGCCGTTTTGGTGGATAAGGTAAGCCGCCAAGGAACCAGGCAGGAATGACTTTGACGGTTTCGACGTACATTTGGAACGGTTTTCCTTAAGAGATTTTCAGCATGCGTTCGTCCCATGCATGAACGTTGTGCATGCCGGACGTTGTGCTGAATTAATCGGTAATCGTACCCTCTCTAGAAATTAAGAAGAGTACTGGTAAATAAAAATCGAACCCGACTGGATCTGTCACCAATGTGCAAATTTGCAAAAAAAAAAAACGGCACACTAACTAATTATTAGCATTATTAGCTTATTAGCAGCATTTATATTAATTCATTATTCGTCCGGGACTAAAAGACGTTCGACGCTGCAGGGCCCAGTAGGTACCGTTACTACAACTGGGCTCCAGCTGCAGTAAGAAGCGGTTCCAGTCCACAGCTGCATTCAGGGTCTGATGGGGGGCAAATAATAAACAGTGATAAACCCCGCTGATGACCGGCACCCAGATGACGAGTACACGGTGACATGCAGCTGCACGACCTGATGATTCATCAGCGAGGACTGAGGAGTCAGAAGTCACACGACAGGGTGTGTCTGTATCTGTTTACTGTACTGTACCCTTTCATCGGCTGATTGTGCAACTAACTAGGCAACACGATTATCTGCAATTATCTTCATGCTTGTTGCTGGGTCAGGATGGTTTGTAATGCATTGGTAAACCGTGTTCGGTGACCCGACTTTATTCATAGGCGGCGGAATGGGGAGGGCACCGGGGCACCGTGCCCCCCTTTGATTTTGACATTTTAACATAAGCCCTATGGGCGTTGCATGGAAAGAATGGGACCAAAAGTCGGCAGTGCCCCCCTTTAATTGAAGGTGTTCCGCCGCTACTGACTTTATTTCATCGGTCACCGGGCGCGAATCGAAATATTTGGATTTGGGGGTCAATTTGATAAATAAAAGATCTGGGCGTGGGGGACGGCCGATGGCCTCTCAAGTCACTTATCCCTCACAATTCTCCCTTTGGCCGGGGGACTGACGTTACATTACTGATTACGATGATTACGATCTTTGGTGCCCTGTTCTGATTAGAAATTACGATAACCCGCGGCCGCGCCCCTTTGGCGCGGGTTCAGCCCCGTGGTTCAGCCCGCCGATTGGCATTTCCGCCAAGGCCCCCATTCGCTGGCCAAGAGCTTGTCGCTTTTTCGTCAGCACGCTCCTACTACTGAGGTCTTCGAAGCGGTCGCAATTTTGGTATTGTGATGTAATGTAGTTACTGAAGGTCACGTATTTTACGATATACAGTTGATTGTAACCAGTCATTATGAATGAGCATTCCGATCATACTTTCCCACGTGCCCACAGCATAACTCTGGAATTTTCTAGTCGGCTACGAGCTTTGGCGGTTTCTAGACGTACCTATCTGGCACCTTCCAATCGCACGTTCTGGCAGGGCGGCGCCGACGGACCAATCACAGCGCTCCGTACAGTGCAAGTAGCTGTCTGCCGTGCGCCGATTGGTCTGCTGTCGTCATGGTGACGGTCAATGAGCTGTCTGCTTCCCGAGTTTTCCGAGGTGTTATTTAGCTGGGCGGCGAGTTCGCAGGTCAGAATTTGAAGTTTGGCGACTGGTGCGCGGAGTTCGCGAAGAGCGTCTGAAACTGTGGATATCGCATAAGGTAACAGGTAAGTCCCCGTTGGGGCACGTCCCGATCTCGTTCCCGGCGTGGCCTTCTCCTGAGAACAAGCGTTCCGGGGTTTGGACCGGGTAACTTCAACTTCAAGTTCAGCGGGGGTGCTTCTGGCCTTTCCAGTTTCTCGGTATAGCTTTTAGATTATTCTTTGGACCTCGCAACCCATTACAGCCGCGATGCGCGATTCCTTGTGCCTACGGAAATTACAAAACGCCATACACGAGTCTTAAATCAGTCAGGCGTTGCGCTGTCCGAGCTCGGAGCTCTGACCGATAGCAACATAAAACTAATTAATTTCAACTTGAGTGGATGGTGGAGGGATAAAATCTGTAAATTTTCTGAGGATAACCTTTCGTTGCGGTTGAATTGGATAAGAGGTGTCCGAATATTCCTTGACGTGATGTCCTGTTATATCTATTTGACTCACGTTCCCGTTTCTTTCTTCCCAGAATGGCGAAAGCTCCAGCGATTGGAATTGATCTCGGGACCACCTACTCCTGTGTGGGAGTATTCCAGCATGGCAAGGTGGAAATCATTGCCAATGACCAGGGCAACCGGACCACACCCAGCTACGTGGCCTTCACCGACACGGAGCGTCTGATCGGAGACGCCGCCAAGAACCAGGTGGCCATGAACCCCAGCAACACGGTGTTCGGTGAGTATTAGACGGCACAGTTTAGGGTATCTGTATCGTGAATAAACACGACTGTTTTATAGAAATTGGCCGATTTGCTTCTCCCGATCGGTTATCACTCGGGACTCGGAACTCGGTTATCGGTATAATTGCGAAGTTCTTCGCGGTTAAAATGCTACACATTAGCCCGTGTTAAAATGATTTTGAGTGGGATTTTTTTTTAATATGTTCAGCTATCTGATTATATCATGGTTATATTTATCGGTATTAACTGTGATCCTCTCAATTGAATTACGGTCACGCGGACTGAAATAATTTAGCCGGACCGTAAGAAAGGATCGAACTTGTCACCGTTTTCAGTGATTCTGACCGCCGTATTTATCTTTCGTTACAGATGCCAAGCGATTGATCGGCCGGCGATTCGACGACACTGCCGTGCAGTCCGACATGAAGCACTGGCCCTTCAAGGTCATCAGCGACAGCGGCAAGCCCAAGATCCGCGTCGAGTACAAGAACGAGGACAAGACGTTCGCTCCTGAGGAGATCAGCTCGATGGTGCTAACCAAGATGAAGGAGACGGCCGAGGCGTACCTTGGCAAGACCGTCACCGATGCTGTCATCACCGTGCCTGCATATTTCAACGACTCGCAGCGTCAGGCGACCAAGGACGCCGGCGCGATCGCCGGTCTGAACGTGCTGCGTATCATCAACGAGCCCACCGCGGCGGCCATCGCCTACGGCCTCGACAAGAAGGTCGGCGGCGAGCGCAACGTGCTCATCTTCGACCTGGGCGGCGGCACCTTCGATGTGTCGATTCTTACCATCGAGGACGGCATCTTCGAGGTGAAGTCGACCGCCGGAGACACCCATCTCGGCGGCGAGGACTTCGACAACCGCATGGTCAACTTCTTCGTCCAGGAGTTCAAGCGCAAGCACAAGAAGGATCTCTCGACCAACAAGCGCGCGCTGCGTCGTCTTCGGACGGCCTGCGAGCGGGCGAAGCGAACTCTATCGTCGTCATCCCAGGCTTCGATCGAGATCGACTCGCTGATGGAAGGCATCGACTTCTACACGTCCATCACCCGCGCCCGGTTCGAGGAGATGAACGCCGACCTGTTCCGCGGCACCCTCGAGCCCGTCGAGAAGTCTCTGCGGGATGCCAAGATGGACAAGGGCTCCGTCCACGACATCGTCCTGGTCGGCGGCTCAACGCGCATTCCTAAGATCCAGAAACTCCTGCAGGATTTCTTCAATGGGAAGGAGCTCAACAAGTCCATCAACCCCGACGAGGCCGTGGCGTACGGTGCTGCCGTACAGGCTGCCATCCTGCACGGCGACAAGTCTGAGGAGGTGCAGGACCTGCTGCTTCTGGACGTGACGCCCCTCTCGCTCGGTATCGAGACGGCCGGAGGCGTGATGACCGCCCTCATCAAGCGGAACACCACCATCCCGACCAAGCAGACGCAGACTTTCACCACGTACTCGGATAACCAGCCGGGTGTGCTGATCCAGGTCTACGAGGGTGAACGAGCCATGACCAAGGATAACAACCTGCTGGGCAAGTTCGAACTGACCGGCATCCCACCGGCGCCGCGCGGCGTGCCGCAGATCGAAGTCACCTTCGACATCGACGCCAACGGCATCATGAACGTCAGCGCGGCCGACAAGTCGACCGGCAAGGCCAGCAACATCACCATCACTAACGACAAGGGTCGCCTCACCAAGGAGGAGATCGAGCGCATGGTCAACGAGGCCGAGCAGTTCAAGCAGGAGGATGAGGCCCAGCGCGAGAAGATCTCCGCCAAGAACGCCCTCGAGTCGTACTGCTTCAACATGAAGTCGACCGTCGAGGATGACAAGGTCAAAGACAAGATATCCGAGTCCGACAAGACGACCATCATCGATAAGTGCAATGACACCATCAAGTGGTTGGACGGCAACCAGCTGGCGGAGAAGGACGAGTTCGAGCATAAGCAGAAGGAGTTGGAGCAGATCTGCAACCCGATCATCAGCAAGCTGTACCAGGGCGCGGGCGGCGGCGCTCCCGGTGGTATGCCCGGTGGTATGCCGGGAGGCATGCCCGGCGGTGACGCCCCTAAGGGAGGCGCCGGCGGCCCGACCATCGAGGAGGTCGACTAAACCGACTGATAGCCGGGTGATGAGGGTTCTGCTCACTGTCCGTTGCCGTCAATATGCGGCCTGCGCTTTCCAATTTATCGTTCATTGTGTATCGCTCGTCATTGCTTCGGCCAGTGGCCTCATTGTGGTAGATGCTTGTCCCAGAAGTGATATATTGTTTCGCATGTATTGAAATCTGAGGTGAAATACAGAGTTGTAACTTATGTTGGCCTGTTTGCACGAACAAGGGGGTGGGGTAACGGGTGGCATAGCGCTGTCAGATCGGAGCCGTTTACATGCAAACGTTTACATCGGGTCGGTGGATAGTACGAATGAACTGAACAAGAACTGATGTCACTAAGCGCTGGATGCATCCGATTTCCATAATCGCTAATTAAGATCTTCTGATGATTTAAAACATACGGCGCATTTACCTTGAGTGGGGTCACACCCGGGTCACCGACCATGCCATGGGAGTAGTTGAGAAACTGACTTCTGCGGTCATGGTGAACACTGAACCAGCAGTGACTTCGGAGATTTTCGAGGTAAAGGGTGATGCAGGATGAAGTATATGGACATGTAAGATAATCAAGATGCTCCACGGTAATCCTCAATAGCCAAGTCATTCGTAAATTCGATACGCAAAGGTGTACCTCTTATAGTTTCTTATAGGTATCTTGGTGTACCTACTGCTGGGCATGGTGATGGCGGGATTTCTCAAATGTTCTTTTCTAGAGACATTTTCATACTTTTTTGTGTGATAGTCTTCAGTGACGAACGCTACCTATTTCAAACGACTGAGACATATATCACGCAACTGCGACAAAGCTATTTTGAGCTTGGCGCTGTTCGGCAGCCGGCTATTTTGTTTGCAGGGTATGACGTATTTCGCGAGCCGACGTCACAGGCGGTGACGTCGGCTCGCGCGCGAGCCGAGCGCCAACGACAAACTAACGGGAACCCTCGGACACCCTCGGGGCATAAACCGCGGAGTAGTATATTGAGCGAGTGTTACAAGGGAAATTGATATATTTTCGTTTCTCAAATGATAATCAGGGTGTCTCTTACCTTTTTACGTATCATTTAGGCTTACCTAACACTTCAGTTGCCAACTATCTGCAATTTATTCAAACGAAGGTATTTTCCGTAAATATCAATGCTATAGACCGAAATCTTTTGAATAAAAACTCCAACCAATAGAAATAAGAATAACTTATTTTATTCCAACCAGTGACGTACCCAAGGGGGGGGCCACGGGGGCCAAGGCCCCCCCCCCTGAGCGCCGAAGGCGCTCAGGGGGCCCCTCAGGCCCCAGGATATTTTTTAAACACTGGATAAAACGTCTTTTACTGGGAAGAAAAATTGATATTAAAGTTTCATTTATGTGCCCTGGGTACCCGAGGGGCCCCTGCAGTCATCCAAGGGCCCCCAGTTTCCTGGGCCCCTGGTCGCCTAGGGGGCCTCTGGTAGCCGGGGGCCTGGTCTCATGGGGCCCCTGATAGCCTGTGGCCCCTAGTCGCCTAGGGGGCCCTGGTCGCATGGGGGGGCCTCTGGTCGCATGAGGCCCCTGATCGACTGGGGGCCCCTAGTTACCTAGGGGGCCCTGATAGCCGGGGGCCTGGTCGTATGGGCCCCTAATAGTCTGTGGCCCCTAGTCGCCTAGGGGGCCCTAGTCGCATGGGAGGCCTCTGGTTGCATGATATTGAGGCCCCTGATCGCCTGGGGGTACCTAGTCGCCCAGGGGGCCCCTGGTAGCCGGGGGCCTGGTCGCATGGGCCCCTGGTTGCCTGGGGCCCCCGGTCGCCCCTAGTCGCCTGGGGGACCCTGGTCGCCTTGGGCCCCTGGTAGCCTGGGATCCCCTGGTCGCCTGGGGGCCCCTGATCGCCTGAGGGCCGCTGGTCACCTAGAGGGCCCCTGGTCGCCTGGGGCCCCTAGTAGCCGGGGGCCTGGTCGCATGGGGCCCCCTGATCGCCTGGGGGCCCCTGATCGCTTTGGGGACCTGATCGCATTGGCCCTTGGTCGCCTGGAGTGGCCTGGAGGGCCCTGGTCGCCTGGGGCAGTGGGGCCCCTAGTCATCTGGAGGTTCTGGTCGCCTGGGAACCCCTGGTCGACTGGGGGCCCCTGGTCGTCTGAAAGTACGCTTATCACCTGATTGATCCCAAATCATCTGAGTGGCTACTGGCTACTGGATATAAGAAGTGACTGGAGTAGGCACTCATCTGAAGGAGCCAATATCTTTCACAGTGCCGGAGATATCACAGAAAAACAAAAAGGCTAAACTGAATACCCCCCAACCTTGGCCCCAAAGGTGTCATTGGCTAACACAGGGATGTGGGTCGATTTGCAATTGCATTTCCTCCTAAGTCCTATTCCTCCAATTAACCCGCGCCCGGCTGGGGGTCCTGGATTTCCACGCCCTGCTGGGGGGGGGGGGTGTTTGAACACCCCCCTTGTAACTCGGCTCCTGGGCCACGTAGCGATACGCGGAAGGCGGCGTTCGAAAGAGCGTCAAAAATAATGACGAAATCACTTCGGTCAATTTTTTGGTCAGGTTAAAGGTCAGGTCACCAGAGGTCATTGAAGGCAAAATTTCGCCGATTTCCAGGTCGACTATGTCGAAAATTTCCAAGAAGCCAACGCATAACTCGGGAACCAATAGAGCTACAGCGCCGCGGAAAAGCACATTCGATAGCCCTATTAACGCCCTTTCTGAGTAATTCTCTCAGATTTGACCTAACGTCAACGGTTTTGCCTGCAGGGGGCAAAAACTGCAAAAATAGCCGTATTTTTTCGAAAACAGTTTTTCTGCAATAACTTTTGACCCAAGCCTTGTACGAGCTTACTTTTACCGGCATCGTGTTCCTCTCGTCAAGACGCATTGAATGAACTATAACTTGACCTTGAAAGTTCAACTTGAAAATTTGACCTCAGGTCAAGGTCATGACCTGACCGGAAAGGGTCATGTTGCATATCAGTCGATCCGTATCGTCAAGCTGAACACATCTAAGGCGGTTTCATCGCTCTAGCATGCCTCTATCAAAAGTTATTTGCGAAAAACTGTTAGATACCATTCGTGACCTAAGATGACCTCAGGGCATAAACAAGGGTCACGGACACCATTTTCAAGTTCAGTGTGTCTAAAACACTTGTAATTCGGTGTTTGGGAGTGTTTATAATGTCTTTCATCCAAAAGAGGCGCATTTCAATTTTCTCCCATTGACTTATAATGGGGAGGTCGCAAAATTGACCTGACCTTAGGTCACCGATATCAAAATTCCGAGATATACATTTTATAGATACTGTTACCCTTATCAATCGTTGAAAGTTTCAAAGCGATCGGTCACTCGGTGTAGCTATGACAGACATTGAAACTTTTTATGAGGTGAGGTCACTTCAAGTGACCTGGTGACCTGACCTTGAATGACCTTGGTCTGAAATTTTTAGAAGATGTGTAGAATTGATGTATGATAAGGTGTACCAAAAACGGCGGCGCTCCGCGCCGCCGTTTTTGAGATATTCGCGAAAAACCACAAGGGGGGTGTTCAAACACCCCCCCAGCAGGGCGCGGGTTAATACAGAGTGTCCCAGAATTACCCAAGCATTTATTTTCTGGCTAAAAGTACAATTGCGCTCGTTTCCTAGTGAAACATATAATAACCGCGTTTACGTAGGGCTAGTTGCCAGGTAGTGGAATTCCGATAACGAGACATCTATTCCCCACTATTATATTATATACCTACATATCCGGAATTGGAGGATGTTCAGTAATTGAGGCGCTCGCTCATAAATACCTGAGCATGACCGTATGTACCTACTGTGCACTCAACATAATGGTCTGTTCGTTTATTGCAGAGAGTTGCCTCATTCAATGAACAATAAACTCGAATGTTTGAAATGCTTATCCAGCTATGAGGCAACTCCACTGAAGTTTTGCTATCTGATCGAGCCGACAAGCCTGCAACTACAGCTATGACCACTCCTGCTCAACCTACGCCCTCTGCAATCCAGTTGCAGTGCCCCTGGCCCAACTGTGGGTTCCAGACTCCGGCGCTTGACGGGTCAGTGGGCATTCAGCTGCTGCAGATGCATCAGACAGCGTCGCACCCACCAACCGCTGCTGCCGCCCCTGAGAAGGCCAAGTTACCAACACTGGAGGTCTCGCCAGATGGTGTTGTAACAGACACGGCGCTGGGGGTCTTCAGGCAGCAGCTCACGACCTACAAGCGAAGGGCCGGCATATCTGGCGATGACCCAGACACTGTCTTGCAAGCGCTGCCTTCGCCTGCGTACAGCCTGTTGTACGCCCGATTTGGTGCTGGACTCACATCCTTGAGCGAGCACCAACTCCTGACTCATATCGCAGACCTCATGGTGCGACCTGAGAACCGGCTATCCCACATCCTCAAGCTCCAGCGGATGAAGCAAGATCCCGGTCAGCCCGTGGCGCAATTCGCGGCGAGGCTGCGTGAGGTGGCGCGACAGTGTCACTTGGTCGTACAGTGCCGTTGTGACCAGGCAGTAAGCTTCGAGGAGGAAATGGTGCTATTCCAGTTCTTGTCGGGCCTGTGCGACACCGAGGTGCAATCAGAGTTGCTGACTCAAACTCCGCTTACACTTGCGGCGGCCGAGCAGTATGCAGTGACGAAGGAAACCGCCAAACGGAGCCAGCAAGCTATCCAGAGTGAAGAACTGGGTCGGATTCGCTCCTCGTATCAAAAATTGAAACTTTCTGGACCCCGCACCAACGCACCGCCACAGCCAAGCGGCCAGGCATCCCACACAGTCTGTCGCAACTGTGGGGAGGCTGCCCACGACCACCGTCGCCAGTGTAAGGCAGTCAACCACATCTGCACCTGTGGTCGTCGTGGCCATCTGCCAGCTGTTTGCCGTAGCCAACACCGGCCTCGTCAGCCCGCTCGTAGAGAAACAGCAGATGAGATTGACGCCACTCTCCTAGAGCTGAGCTCCCGGTTTATCCTGGAACCGAGCAGCAGCTCCATCGCCGACGCTGGCCCAGCATCAAACCGTCTGCCGGTGCAGGTCCAAGTCGACGTGGCCAGCCTCCCATGCACCGACCGGGCCCGTGACAGTGTCGCGGTCCCGCCACCAGTTACGTGCGTGGCAGTGGCTGACACGGGTGCCACAGTGACCTGCTGCGGCCCGGATACCCTCAGCGCCCTAGGTGTGCGGCGGTCGTCCTTGCTGCCGTCACGTATCACGCTCT